CTTTGAACTTTTTTTTCAGTGCCCAAACTGGCAGCCCCAACCGTTGTGTATAGTACGTGGAACAACAAAACATATGGTGGCAACCGAAGTCGTGGCCACTACATGGAAATTCCCTTACTAAAAAAAAAATTCTGGCAAGTCTAGCCTTATCTATGTAACGAACTCACCCCACTAGCAAAATATGGATCTAAAATCTGGGGCCGCACATCCCGACCTTGACACTCTTACTATACTCCATATATAATATAGGAATTTTATGTTTCTTTGTGCTACGGCACCCTGGTTGCTGGGGCTGAATCTATTATGAGAATGTTTCAGGGGTGTTAGCGCTTGATCTACGGAGTACTTCGTACATTTGCAAAGAACATTCCATAATCCCTGTCAGGCTTGTTAAATGATTTTAGTATTACCTGAGTGACCTATGACAGGTACTCGGCGCAGACATCTAGAAATGGAAAATGATAAAAAGAGAGAAAGAAAAGAAAAACAAGAAAAGTCAAAGGGAAAAAAAAAAAAACATCCAGTGGAAGGAGTCCACGTAGGTGCATCAAAATACTAATAGTATAAGTTACCAATACATACAAGTCCAATACAAGTACAATACACAAAATGCATGCCATAGCGCCAAAGTGGGCCGATGGCGTCAGTGTTCCTGCTTCGAGCGGCCTGCAGGGAGAGTTTGGGGCCCTGATCTGCATCTACTTTACCCACCAATCGCTATCTTTGCAGTGGATTCGGTAGGATTGCCATCTTTACGTACGGAGTACTATCTACTCGATTATCTTTGTAGATTAAAATATGGAGTCTTTGGAATATGTGTTGTACACCATTTACGGCACGGAGTACGGAGTACAAAGGAGGCACATGCTATTTTTCGATTTTATATCCTTATTAATAGTAGGGATGCTTTGGATGAAGTGCTTGCTTGATCTATTCAAGTAACCAGCGGGCTTGTAAGTTATTACCCAAGTATTTATGGTCATTAACTATAGATCGATCTGGGGTTGGATTGAATTTATATTGTGATCTACATTTCGCTATTTGGATAGTTTTCAACTGCATTGGCATGGGAGACTCTTGTATGTAAAACAACACAGAAACCATAGGGGCTCGCACCGAAAGGCTGAATCGGTAGACTAATGGTAGACAAGTATTACTAGGTTCTCACCAGTAACACTATGAGGGAACATCAAATGCAACTCTAGGTGCAACTCCAGGTCATGTGATCTCGGGAATGGTAAAAATAATATCAGCTTTTACAACATACGTTGTAAAAACATTTGAAGCGCTCACCGAATAGTTCGATGTCATTTACTAGCCTGAACGCATGACCCATACCCACTGGAGTAGCGACAAGAACTTTGAGTGTTGGGCGCCTTATAAAGTCGCCGCACTGGTACTGGTACATGTCTCGCCTAACATCGATGGTATTGCATGGTTAATCGTTGTAGAGAATTGACACAGACTCATCGCATCAGTCTAATTTGAGTCAACATCCTTGAATATGGCATGAGCACCAAGTATGTCAAGGTATCCTAACTTGATGTTGGAAGTCTAAGTGTGCGGTAGTTCATCCGAAGCCGAAGGGGAAATAGTATTAATCCGTTCGACACGCAGAAACGAAAGGCCGTCCTCCGTGCGATCATCCAAAAAAAGACTCGGGGAGGTAAACAACTGTATATAGCTTCAAAATGATATCTAATTCCAATGAATCCTCCGTACAAATGTTGTTGCTTAATGCGGCGCTCTCGGCGCTAGCCCCCTTGAAAATCCCCCCCGCGAAATTTTAGTTAAAACTTCACATCTGGCACTTCGCGTCCTACACCATCTTCCCTCCATCCCCCGGAGGCCCGCTTTGCCCACAACCCATCATTTCTCTTACAGCTTTCAGATTTATTTCGCGCAATGAATTCTCGCGAGCAGTCTGACATGCCTCCGGCGCCATCTTACCCGTCTCCTAACGGTGCGCAGATGGCCCAGGGCGTGCCCTCGTATTATGGCAACCGCCAAATGACCACCGACGAACTGCTCTCCGCGGAACTTTCGCGCGATGCCTCCGGTCCAGGTCTTGGCGAAACGAATAACGGTGTTCATCATGGCCAGTCTATGGTGTTGGGTTCCTCCAATGCTGCCGACATGGGCCGAACATCTTCGGAGGACCAACACCAGCACCAGCACATGCTCCAGTTCCCTCCGAGTCAACAGGTCGGCGTCGACCCTAATCACGACTTGAGCTATGGCGAACAAAGCGCGCGCAAACGGTCGAAGATCTCAAGGGCTTGCGACGAGTGCCGGCGAAAGAAAGTACGATAACAACTCCCCTCGAATGCGATTGTGAACTAAGCTAAGACGCGTTTTCTTTTACAGGTTCGATGTGACGCGAGCTCGGAAACCGGTCTTGAAACATGCTCCAACTGCAGACGCCTCGGCGTTGTGTGCCAGTTCAGTCGCGTCCCGATGAAACGCGGCCCCAGTAAAGGGTAGGGGAAACAAGTGCGCCACTACAAGAATCGTCAACGCTGACAGAGACACAGTTATATCAAAGAACTCGCGGAGCGACTCCATACTCTGGAGAACCAGATGCAACCAGGGATCGTTCAGCCTGACGTGCCATACCAGTCTATGAACGAGGTGTCTCTGCCGAGAGGGTACCAGGATTTCGCATCGCCGGTGGAATCGACCTCGGGCAATCGCAAGAGGACTTACTCGGTCTTTGAGGGTCTCCCCAGTTCCTCATTTGCACAACCTTCATTCAACGCCCGTGTATCGCAAAATGCCTTCGACACCTCTGAGACAGCGGCAGACCCGTACAACCCAGCCGTCGCCAGCGGTAGCGCACCGAAACCTGGCAATCTGTTCTGGAACCCAACAGGCCATGAGAATGATCTGCCAAGCGGCCTCGAGATGACGGATTTGCCAAAGCATGAAGGTGATGATGACATGTCACCAGTGACTCTGGACGAAGGAGCTCTTGATGCGTACGTGCAATGTGTAACCCTCCTAATCATGGGAAACCCATCTAACACCGGACTACAGGTATTATCAAAAGATCCACACCCTTCTGCCAATTCTTCCCCACACGAAGGAGCGAACTTTGGAGCTTTTGCACCAATGCAATCGCGAGGCACAGGAAATTTTCTGCCATGCTTTGTACAGCGTTACTCGAACTGACATGTCGCGCGTGGCGGGCAGTTTCGAGAAGATCAATGGCTTTGATAATGCTCAGGACCTCCTCATGTTCCACACCCGCCAGCCATTGATTATCCACACGACCCCTGTCAACCTTATCTGGCTTCAGTCTCTTTTGCTGATGATTGTCGACTGTGACACTCGTGGGCCGGATAATTTCGTTCTGAAAGATGGCGTGCCCAAGGGCACCCTAGTCCAAGCAGCTAACAAGCTCGGATACGATTTGGCCAAGAGCCAAGGCCAGCTGAAGAACAAGCGATCTGTGGATGCTGATGTTGATTCGGATGCCAATCTCACCCGGCGCAACTGGGTGTCTTTGGTCATCTTGGCTCGGTGGTACGCTATCAGTGTAGCAGATGCCACCGTTCTGGGTGGGCATGAGATTGGTGGCCGTGAGGATGAAAGGGTTGTTGGTCAAATCACAACCGGAATTGCTTGTATGTTGAGCTCCCCTGTTTTACAATTATGCTATCTTACTGACTCTTTTCGCGACAGCTTACTCGACATTCCTCTCTGAGATGGTCACTTTGGCTAACGTCGACCACAACATCTGCCAGACTAACTCCGGGCTGGGTCGTATCATCGGTGCGAATCTCGTCTCATCCCTGGAGCGTCTAGCAGAGATGGAGGACATATTCCAGATCCACGAGCTACCCGAGAACTCTACCACTCGCCCACTCTACGAGAGTCTCCAAGCACAACTCTACTGGACCGTCCGTTTGCTCATCAAGCGCCACGTTTTCGTGTATAGCCCGTACGAGATCATTTTCTGCGCGCAGGAGGTAATCAACGAGATGCACAAGTCAACCATGCAATCCCGTCTCCCATCACCCTTCGATCTGCACAGTCTCGCCCTCGCCTCGATGACTCTTCTCGAGGCGACCGTTCTCCCAGAACACGCAAACGAATGCTGGGCCACCCTCGAAAAAGTCGAAGAGATCCTCGACCGCCGCTCCAAGCGCGCAGCAGAGGGGTCCGAATTCGACAATATCTTCAGCACCCCGGAATGGGACGCCAAGATCCGCATCTTCCTTGAGTGGCGCCGTATCAAGTCCCAGGAGAGCCAGCTCCAGGAAGCTGAGATCGGCGGTCTTGCCAAGTCCCAGCAGCCTGTGATGGGCCCCAACGAGCAGCGTTCTCTCCAGCACCTTGCTGATCTTGCTGTCGGCGCTGAGGGCTCTGTTGGTCAGAATGCGCCGTCCACACCCCCGCCGGGCCTGTCTAACGAGCAGGGCGAAGCAGAGCAGAACCTTGCTCCTCAGTTGACACAGTCGAATGGCGGGTCGGGTCGTGTTGTTGTTGACTTCACTATGCTTACTAAGGAGGGCTATCTGAATGTTTTCTCTGGTTTGATCTACCGTCGCACACGCTGAGTTTGCTTCGCGATCAAGTTTCGTCTTCTCCACTTAATCTTTGTATTCTCTGGTTTTTGTCTGAGTAAAGAAGGCCTATCGGAAATTTTTTTTTTTTTTTTTTTTCTTTTTTTCCTTTATGTAATATTTTGCGTTGGCTGGGCTTTTCTATGGCCCAAGTTTGTCTCTTATGTCTCATGCTGTAGTCGTGCCTTGGCTAGGCAGCGGGGATTTAGCCCTTGAATGGAATATAGTTTCTATGAAATACGCTGGATTTTAGACCGTGAGAGAAGGCTGGCCACGGGGAGCATCGACTAACTAATGGGTACTACTGACAAGCCAGGCGCAACCCCCTGGTATGTGATCTACTATAGATCCTTGATGTAAAACCGTGGTTGGTGCAGGCGAGAAAGGAATAGGAAGAGACCTTGGAAATCAATCTCATCTTTTGTGCAGTCTTTAGATCTTTATTATAACCTTACCCATATGCTCGCCAGCATAAAGACGATCAAAAGCAGCCTGAGAGTCCTCGAAAGAGAAAACCTTGCTATCCAGAATAGGCTTCAATCCAATCTTCTTCTCTGCGATAAAGTTACACAAGTTCTCTTGATCGATCTTGGAACCAACCGCAATTCCCCTGCGCAAAGTTAACACACTAAGCCCTTACAGCCATCGAGATCAAAGCAAATTGGATACGTACCTGATAGTAGCACTCTTCAACAGTGTCGGGAGGATCGTGTCAGGAAAGCGATCCACATCAAATCCTCCCAAGAAGCCTACCAAGGAAACGGTCCCTCTACGCGCCAGAGAAGAAAGACTCTGAGACACTGTAGTTACTCCCACATTCTCCACGACAACATCTACACCTCGTCCATTGGTGAGACGACGTGCCTCCTCATCCCACTGAGGGTGGTCTCGGTAGTTGATTGTGTCGATAGCTCCCGGCTTGCATACACTCCGGACAAGCTCTAGTTTCTGGTCCGAGGAAGACGTAATTATAGGCCGGATACCTGCTGCTAGGCAAATAAGTAGACCAAACATGCTGACTCCTCCGGTACCTTTTGATTACAATCTATATTAGCTTGAAGTAAGGTTGATAAGGTTGGGAAATTGACCTTGGAGTAACGCGGTGCCACTTGAGCGAGGCATATCCAATGCATTCCATGCAGTGGTTCCAGCACAGGTAATACACGCCGCCTGTTGAAGAAAGGGATCAGCATATAAATAACCAGCGGTTCAATTATACGGGTTTCAACAATGCATACCTCTTCCCATGAAAGATGCTGGGGCAAATGCAGCAGAACGTTCTGGTCAAAAACAGCAAATTCGCGTAACACCCCATCAACATCTCCACCGAGAACACTGAGGATATCCTCAGTGTTATTGAGGTTGCTCAAATCAAAAATGGTGGTAACATGATCCCCAATCTTGAAAGACTGTACTTCAGACCCAACCGCAACTACCTCTGCGGCGCAATCGGACGCTGGGATACCTTCATCAATCACCTCGACGGGATATAACCCATTCATCATTGCCACATCTCTATAGTTAAGGGACACGGCATGGATGCGAATCAATACTTCTTGGGGATTAAGGGACGATGGCATTTTCTCTTCCACTAATTCAAGTGTTGTGGGTAGGTCACCAGAGCTGCGTCTGAAGGCTTTGTAGGTCTGTGGAAGGGACATTGTGGCCATGATGATCAACCCGAATCAGTGATAACTTTGAAAGATTTCTAAAGGCCCCTTGAGCTTTTTATACGACACTGACAAATTTATGGTTGATAAGCCTAGAGTGACATCATGCAGCTGATAAATAGATCTTGAAATTGCTTAGTATTAGCCCTGGGGGAAATTATTTTCATCCATTTTAAAATAATATTGTTGTACTAGCGAATCACCTACTTTCTTGTGGTGGGATACCGGCGGGATGCCAGTGGGAGGCCGTGGAAAATCTGTGGGATGCCGTGAACAGGATCTTCCATGATTGGCTGTAAATGGTGTTTTAGGACGTGAATCACCAGTAGCAGCTGTCCTACTACAATAGGTAAAAAACCCTGTTGAGAATCAGAGATTCTCCAACCGTAGTATACGAAGATGATATATATAAGTGTAGGTCGGTCATATAACCCTTAGTAGGGTAGGTAACCATATGATTCCCTACGGACAAATTCTGGCTAGCAACATACATCGAATTTGGGCCACGCGAGATGGTTTTCCCTGACCCATGGGGCTTTATGTGTATCTATAAGTGCGTCCTACCTAGATATGAAAAGCCTCGGGCCAAAGTCAAAATTACCTTTTGACTTCCTAGAAGGTTGAATGCAAACTCAACAAACAACTGTTAGATTGACGACCTGTCAATAACTCTCACCTGCATATTGGTACTTCGCTACAGACTGTCTGCTATTTTTACTAGCGGAAATATAGGGCCAGGCTGATAGGAAAGCCTCGATAGTATGGTTTCCCTCCTTGAACTTCACCTTATGATTTCTTTTTGCTTTGGTCTCCCCGTATAAAAACTACCTCGAGTTAAACAGCTAAGCTGATCTTGGACAGTTCTTTGCTAGCGTTGAAGTACCCAGCATGGAGGACGAAGATTTTGACAGACCAGTCAGATTTATCGTCACTGGCCAATATCTCGCTATTCACTACAACGGCAGCAACTTTGAGATAAGCAGAGATTACCATGCCCGTGGTTCTCTGTTTTACGTTTCTGATGACGGCGAAACGATAATTCATAATCGCACATATGTCGGTGTTCTCACCGACTATCCCGACTATGAAGGGGATGTATTTTACATCCGCAATGGGTCACAATACCTAACCCAGGACGGGCAGTGGACGGACCACGTTAATGATACTGTCAAAGTCCAAATTGACCCAGTGGGAGACTACAGCGATGCCGAACCCCCCATTCCTCCGTCAATTCCAAATCCTGTCATTGATCCGAGCAATCCTATTTCCGCCGATGGAGTCGATCTCTACCACCCCGATAAATGGTTTTCCTTATATCCCATCAACGGTGACAGTATCTGGACAGGCGATGCTGGGGAGTTCGAAAGCAAGCTCTATTTTGGTGGCAACTCGTACAGTGATGGGATGTGCTTCCAGCTCTCCAAACATGATGGGAAGACACGGATCCGCTCCTATGATGGTAAACATCTGGTCGTGACGATGGAAGCTAGCGTTGCCGCGTACCTGGACGAAGACTGCAAGCAACATACTAGGTTCGATCGATGTTCCCGTTGCATGCTCCATTACACACTTGGGTATAGTTCCGAGCCGCACGAGGGTCTTGTTTTGGTTCCAAAGGGTCTGCCTAGCATGTTTGCTTTGAATGATGGCATTTTCTACTACAAATCAAATGTTCTTAAAGGTAGTTATGCAGAGGTAGAGCGCGTTGAAGATATAGAAGATGCGACACCTTTCCAGTTTGTCGCTTGATCTTCCCTTATGTGGGTATATGCAGCGCAGCCTTCGTGTACCACCGCTAGCCACCATACTGTAGTAGGGCCGTTTTTACCCTCAATACTACACATTTCAACTCATCCGCTCGAAAAATTGATTGCATCACTATAGGGTTAGTTGCTCCCTGTCTGAAGTTGATGTTCACGAAAGTCTCGTCTATAACGAGCCTACGGGCTTTCTGGCACAAGTGTAATCCTGATGCTCGTGTTGAAGCTGCATTCATCCCACAGCTTGATTCTATTTATTGAATGAACCCTTTATTGAGGCTCAATAATCTAAATAGTTTACTATAGAGGGTGTATCAGACGTTATGTGCCAAGCGCTCGCTCTGTTGGTAATTTCGCTGATGTCCACAACTTCAGCCCGCAGGCCGTATTTGCGACCCTTTGACAAAACCACTGAGCACACAGTCAAACACTTCCCCAATTTGAGACAGTAAGCGGCGGCGCAATCAAGTCCAGGTGGTGTCAGCCAAGTCTTCCCGAGCCCGGTCACAGTTGGCCTTTCCGGTGTGAGTATAGCAAAGACCTGCCACTCCAGCTGCCCATAATGCACCGCACTCCCACATGACGATAGCAAGGTCCCATAGCTCTATGATCTTCTGTCCGTGGGGGTAAGCCAGTTCGGCAGCGAGGACGGCCCCCACATACTCACTCTCGGACGGAAGGCTATCAGCCCCCTTGACATAGGCGAGGACAGGGTTTACTAGGAGATCGATGACGGCACGAGTTTCCGGCAAAGGATTAGAGGCAAGGATTGATTGGAGCCGTGCCTCGGCATTGGCAAAGGGACGCTCCCCACGTTCAACCTTAGTGCCGCATGCTCGGAAGTGCTCCAACGAGGGCCTCTCTTCCGGTATGGTGGCAGCGATGGCCGCACCGACACCGAGGTCTGTCCTGCCGAGAAGACTGATGGGTCTGTGTCGGCAGTTGGCGAGTTGCCACCAGTGCGTGAAGAGAAGGCAGAGTGCTGCTGGGTTATAGGGATCGTTGTCCCGATACCAGATCATGGTACCAGTCAAGCGGGAGTAAACTTCAGCCAGTGGTTCTTCCTCCAATGACCCCCCGGTCAGAGACGGGATGATGTTGCTTACTTCTCCGCACGCCACATCAGCTCCGATATCAATCCAGTCGTGTGCAACGCAGCCAAGGCCGGCGATAGCAGCCATATGTTCACCGCCACCCGCATCATAATACACGTGGCAGAAGACGGCATCCGCCAGCTTGTAACGGGCAAGCTGGGCGAGATCGTCCCATATAACCACACAGGAACGGGAAGGGACAGGGTGGGTATCCTCGATGATGGTCTTCTGGCGTAAGCATGCATAATTACAGCCCTTGACGATCCGTATATCGGTGATGTGCGGGCCAGCAGAGGCGGCTACTTCAGCAACGGCAGCTACATCTGAGAAAGCAGAAGAGAGTTTCTCTGCCATTGCAGAATCTTTGACGCCGACGGAGTAATCCAGGACAAAACCAGAGTCCATGAGAGCCCACAAGCCAGAGATGGAGCCGCCATAGACACCCCGGTTGTAGCCAATCCCCATAGAGAAGATGCTGGTGTTGAGCAGAGGGCCCTCGCAACTCTCTGCTGCGATGAGATCGGTAGTGGCCTGGTCAGGCGAGAGCGCCACGCCGCTCAGTTTGGGCGGGAGGGGCTTGCGAGCAGAGCACCACGATGGCATTTCGACCGCTCTCACTTCCGCAAATGCTAGGCGCTCCGTCCTTCCGGTAGTGACAACCTTATCACGGGCTTCCAAGAGAGCTGCGGCGTTAGCTAGGAGCCCGACTGCACAATCGACGGCGTCTGCAACGCGCGTGTTACGCATCCAAGAGGCACTTGCAGCGGCCGCCAGAACTCCCTCGGTCTGAGGGGTGTCGATACGACGCTCCAGATTGATTGTCGTCGTCAGCGTGTCGGTCTCAGGGATGTATTCCTGAGAGAATTTACTTGACCCAGCTTCGGCATGCCCTATGCCGTGAGTCTTGAGCGTCCAGCATGGGGCTCCAAGAGGAAAAGCCATAGTAGTCCCTTCTCCGATGAGATGGGTGGTGCCCCACGTGGAAGAAAGACGAACGGTAGCATTAGGATCCTCTGCTGAAGCCTCACCGGTGCGATCAGTCCAATGGGAGACGACAGGCAAGCAATCAAAAGCAGGCGAGCGGCTGAGACCACCACTGATAACCAACCCCGGTACAAGGTCTGATAATGGCTGGTCTGGATTCTTCTCTCCCAAAGGCAGGCCAATCTCCCTTGAACGGGCGAGGATCTCGTCAAGTTTGGCATGGTACTCGGTACTTGGCTTGCGGCATGGCATACTCCAAGTAGTGGGACTAACACCACCCATTTCGTGCCTCGATTCCAAAGAGGAAGACTTGAGGTTTGAAATGAAGTCAATTACGTCCCGGCAGTTCATTCGCTTGTCGAAAGAAGCCTGTCTATCGGCTCGGGGGTCAACGAGCCCGCCACTGAGAGCGAGCTCGGGGAGGGCACTTGTCCGGGCAATATAAGGCATGTGTGATTCAATAGTAATAGTTTTTGATCGACGAGTGTGGTTTCTCTATCTGCTATGTGGCCTCTAGGGCTATTTATGTCAAAAGTACAGTGGACCCTGGAGACTGACGGCAGAAAGTCGGTGTTATTCCATGAATATCGCCCTATATTTGAGTTCAGTAGAAACCCCGTATAGAGTAATTGTAGTCCAACGTGCATCTTGGAGTCAAAAGCTCGTATTTGCCTAAATGGATCTCAACGTTAGTTGCCTTTGTCCTATATTCTACCGTCCTCTTCTCTGTATCTCTTTCTGTCTTCTGTTGAACTACTAGGCATGCCTAACTCTAGTCATTCTGGATAAGTGCATATAGGGGCATCTTGTACAATGACAATTTCAACTACCCACGGCAGGAAAACTATATAGAACAAGAAGGTTAACGGGAAACATCGGGATACTTTACAACCTTTACATTTGAGCAAATGCCTGCATAGTCTGCATACTATAGAGGCCAAAGCTTAAGCTTTTCCCAGTCGAGAAAGTAATGCGCACGACACGAAGTTTGTTCACAGTAGGAATTGGACCTCAATCTTCAGGAGATATGTTTACATATTGCGTGTCCTGCAGCCTTCGTATTGAGTACATTAATGGCCCTTGCGTACATCTTCAGGCATACGTTTGGTGACTTGTTTGCAACGCATTAACTTAGATAACGATTTGCATATGTGGGCTCAGGTATAATAGGTGGATTGTAGATTTCGTGTAACGTTAGATGAGATCGTGGAACCTTAAAAAGTTGCACGGAGAATCGTAAGGTTGGAACTAGTCTCCACATTTAGGTACCTCGGTGCTACATGAATTGGGGTATATCTCCGATGATCTCCGTCTTGGCTAGATTCCAAGGTTGGCTTACACCAGTTATCCTTACTAAGGAGGTGTGCACCGTTTTGGTCTAGTGGTAAAGTTGTGTGTAGAGCACCGACAAGTATCGCTTGCCTGAGGCACTAAACCTTTCGGGATTACAGACTGCCAGCCATATCTTCCTCTTCCTCTTCTTCTTCTTTTCCCCTTAGCAGAAGTCAGCTCTAATAAGTCGTGTTGCCTGCTCTCTCTTATCCTTGTTTCCCTTCACCTATATCTCTCTTTCTTTTGCGTCAAAACTCCTTCCTTGGCAGCCAATCACAGCAAATTATCCATCAAAATTGAGAAATGGGGCTCGAAAATTACCCAATGGAGATTTTGGAGGCAATACTCTTGCTGGTAGATGAGCAGACGCTTCTCCTAGCACAGCGAGTTTCCCAAAACTGGTATCGCTGTATTCAACAGTCCCCTGCAATCCAGAAAGCTTTATTCTATCAACCCGCGTACCCAACTTGCTCAAAAGACCTCATTCCACGACAAAATCCATTGCTAGCGGCCAAATTCCCATATTGGTTTCCTGTCGACGACCTCGATTCCTGTAAGATGACCTTCGGGGCGGGGGATTTACAGGACTTTCTAGACCAAAATGAAGCCTGCCTACGACCTAGTGCCAGTTGGCGACAAATGCTAGTACAACAGCCCCCCGCAATGTCACTATCCTGGGTGGACCGAAGAATATCCGGTGACTTTCTCTGTCTGTGCCGATGGGACTTTCCATTAGAAGCATACGAAGGGCTTCGCATGAACATGCTTTACGATTTGGTGGTTCAAGCATCAGATGAGGCGCAGCAGTTTTTTTACTTCAGAATTTGTCGGGGCTTCTATGACACCTACAGAAATCTCATGATCAACGCCGTTTCTTCTGAACCCAACCCTCATGGATTCTACGAGGATAGATATGCAAGACCCCTGGAAGCAGCAATTATGAAGTCTGGTATTGTTCTTGATACATGGACCGCTGACTGGCTTTTGTTTGAATTCAAAGCCGAGTTTGCCAATGATACGTGGACGAGAGAGTTGGTACAAGGGCTTCGATTACCCATGGGGGATTTGAAGCTGGACTCTGTTTATGAAAGGCGACGGCTAAGAGAAACGAATAACTGGTCGCTTGAAATACCATTCGGTTGTGAGTCGGCTCCTTTGCCAGATGAAGACGACTTGGATCTATGATGTACATCAATATCACTAGCCTTGGACGTCATCAAATTGAGAAATATTTTTATATGACCGTACAGTATGCAGTATGGATGAATGAATAGCGTCATTCACCCCGACCCCTCGTAGAAAAGCGACATGAAAGCTGCCGCAACCCTATCTATTCATGTATGTCCAAGTAGGGTGTACGACTATCTAGACGAAATCGAAGCCTTGCCGAGGTATAGTATGTGGAAGGATTGCCTAATTAGGGCTAGTGTGCTTTGAGAAATTGGGAAATAGTACGAGAGAGAACGGGATAAATCTGATTTCAGTGATTACTGTAACTGACTGGGTGATATTATTTGAAAATTGACAATGGATCGTATTGCGATTCCACATATCCTCCAGACCCTGAAAATCCATAAACAGATTAGTTCCTCGGACAGTTAACAGGGAGTTGGGTTATTAATAAGCGCTAGCACAGCCCTGGAGGAATGCCTGACATTTATTGGCCTACAACATATCCATTTTCGATTAGTGTGCTCGTCAATTTATGCTCACTAAGTAGAATTGAGCATGACACTGCGAAGTTGTTAGGCAAGTTGATTTCACGGGTCGGCGTTTTGACTCATTTTTTGAGCCTCCCATTCGACCTTTGTCATCTGTAACCTATTGCTGGGTCATTGATCCAGAAAATATGCTTCACATGGAAAGGTCGATATTGAAGCTTCCAAATGAGCTTCTGATTTCTCTGATAGAGCACATTGATGGCCCTAGCCGTGCGGCACTGGCACAAACATGCCGTACTCTCAATCTTTTGACAACACCGTATCTTTACGAATCGGTAAACATCCAGCTCGACAAAAGCAACGAGTTTGTACGGACAATCAAAACTAAATATGCCGATTTAGTCCGTCATGTCACGGTCGCGGCCCGAGATCATAATCTCGATATTTCCCCTTGTCGTATTGTACCATGTCTTGATAAGTTAGAAAATATGCAGAGCCTCACGCTGGCTGGTGGCTACTGGATGTGGGATACCGATGAAGAGAATTGGGATACGCTTGAAGACTACCTGTGGGATTATCTTGGAAAAGCGAGCTTGAAACAACCTGTTGAATCTCGAGTTTCTACGAATCTTCGATCGCGTAAGTCACTGACGTCCACAAAGAGAAACTGGAGGAGAACTAAGATCCAATTACTAGTGACTCTTGACCGTTCCGAATGCAATGGACAAGCGGCATTTCTTCACTGCTCGTCCATATTCATCATTCCGCAACTCCATGATCTCACAATACGTGGTTTTATGCTTGAGGAAGAAGATACCGATATCGACCCCCAGTTTGAACGCCAGACTGAACTTAAATCCTTGCGTATCGAGAGAAGCTTTGTGAACTTTGTGGCTTTAAAGAAAGCCTTGCTTGCTCCGCGTGCATTGAGGTACCTTAGTATTGGCCATGCAGAGTATTTCTGGCACCATGAGCTCAAGAACGCGGAATACAACCAAGCAACAGTGACTGAGTTTGTGGGGGCCTTGCTACCTCATCGTGATACACTCGAAGAGATCAAAGTGATCGTTGACTATGATGGCAGTAGGGAGTCGACTTTAACAGCCAATGCCTCGAGCTTCCGTAAACATGCAACACAATTTCCGGTACTGAAGCGCTGGCTTGGCTGTGATAAGACAACGTTGTCGCATTATCTCAATTCGGATGAACCTAGTTCATCCGATGAAGATCGCGAAGACAATGAATGATCCGGCTGGAAAACCTTTGACACTACGGAGATATCAGAGTTGGGAACAAAACAACCTACAATTGTTCACATAGCTGTCGACTTCATTGTGATTTGTCAAAGATCGTTCGTAAATATGAATCATGGATGCCTGAGCTTGATTTTCATTGCGTATTTATATCTTATTCCCAACACGATGGAAATCTCGATACCAATTTGAGAGGGTAAGTTCGAAATTTCTCACGTTGCACTGCTGGTGGCGGCCTTTTGTTAGGGCGCCCATGATGTCAATTACGAATGGTAAATACTCAGTTCCCTTGGTGATCCTTGACGTATATGGTACCTCGCCAATCGGAATGGTGATATCAGGCGCGCCTAAGATAGGTGGAAGAAAAAGTCGATCTAGCGCGGACTGCCAACGGGGGGATTGCGATAGCTCGTCCCTATAGTTCGGAACAGCATTTGCAATTGGAAGAACAACCAGGGTCTCAGTCTCACTGGTAGCTTTGCCGAACATTGCATTAAGCAGCCATTCCTTGTAGGTGTCCAGCCGCTAAATGGTATCTTTGCGCTGTTCTTTGAATATGTCGGCAATCTTTGCCCATCGGTATTGTAGGGAGGGAAGTACATATGGCGGCTTCCCATCATGTTTCTCCGCATATTCATCTCTGAAGAAATACTAGGACTTGGAAAATCCAATTCGCAAAAGTGATCAACCTTAACTTTAACATAACCGACAGCTATGTTTTCACCTAAATTAGTTCCCAAAAAACCACCTAAGAGATGACTATAAACATAGTACCTTTATATTTTATTTCGTTGCAGCGAGTACCTATTATTAGAATCTTAAGTGGTGACATTGTGACATTATAGGTACGTGTTCTAATGTCTATGGCTGTCATGCTATGTTCAGAGGACAGTAAAGTGGAACGTGGGGTTTCATTCACTATTTGGTAAATATCTCTGAAAACAGATCACCTATACGATACAACTAAACAAGTAGTGCTAAAGACAAGCCGAAAATTATCTTGTAGACATTAGTAAAATAAGATATGGCATTCCAGAGAACAAGCAAATGGCAGTCCCTCACCCCTCACTGCTTTTGGCCGAATGCAAACCGCCTCCATGTTCTGTCCACATCCTCGCACAGACCCATGAAACCGTCATCGTCGATCAACTCGCACATCCAGTTTTCGAGAAAGACAATTCGCTCAGCTGTTGGTGAAGATAGATACTGCGCAATGTGGTCTTCTGTCAGGACCGGTGACTTATTACTTGGCTTGCTGGCCGGGTTGTGGTTGGAGTTCGAGTTAGTTGGATTTTTTTGTGTGTCTGATGCGTTCTGACCACTGGGTACTTGAGATGTCTGCTCGGCGGATTGACAGATAGGACCTGTGTTTTGCGAAGCAGGAGGCTCTTCATGAAGTAATAATGGCTGGCTCGCTTCGGGACAAGGGTTTGTTTGCGATAAGAGTTGGGAATCGGAGTCGGGCAATTTAGAATAAGCATTAGGCTTGACGACGAGAGGATGTAAATCAGGTTGTGGATCCTTGGTTGGCTCAGTGTGTTGAGAACTTGGCGACGGAACTGGCTGTGGATACTTCTCTGTCGTTCGAGTCAAGCTTGCAGCGCACGGTTTCCTTGCGGTTGGCTTCGAGAAGGGTAGGTCTCTCTTGGGAGGGAGCATCTGGTTCAACTGGTCGACGTCATGAATTGCAGACATGGTGGAAAGCTGAGAGCTTGGTAGATCTGGCTCTTTATTGAGCGTGTGTGCGAGAGCAGATTCATGCAGCGGTTGAGATAAGTCAACCGGTTCCATGATGTGGAATGGGGGGTTGAGAGCTGGTACGGGGCCCAATCTGGAAGTAGGGTGTGAAATTGTGCTCGCGGGGGATGATGCTCGAATGGGTGCTACCAAAGCGAGAATATGAGATGGCTGCTCGAGGGGTAGTTAGAGAAATCGCTACTTACTTGTCCTTCCAGACCCTAACGCCTCTGTGGGGTAAGAGTGCACTCCATTGCTGCCGGTTGAAGTTGCCGCCGTGTTTGTAGTCCTGGGGGCAACTGAAGAGAGCTGCCCCGATGTCCATGACGACACGGAAGGAAATCGTTGTATTGCTGGAACTGGAATCTTGCCTTCTGTCAATGGACAGTTGATTTCGCCCAGAAGGGTCAAGGCTGTGAAGTAGTCACGTTCTGTAGTGAACTTGATCTGGAACCGGCGAATCTGCGGAGTCAGAAGACAGCTTTGTTAGGAATCATTACCTCAAGTCATACGCGCAGAAGATACACACATGTGTTTCACCATGAGGATACTTGACTGCAAGACAAGGCGACTTTACAACGACAGCAAATTGTGACCTTGGGGGTGGAATTAGCTGGGCCTGCATTCTTGTCATGCGAATGAAGAATACGAGATCAAGCTGTTCCTAAATTGGATGATTCAGAAGTTTAGCATCACTAGCTGTCAAGCTTTATGAGTGAGTGAGGGTATACCAGGATGCCATCACCTCGGACCACTTTCTGAATCATCCTCGATGGCACAGACCCGAAATCGAGGAACTTCTCAAAGATGCAAGCCAGATCTCCACTCCCAGGGACATGATTCCAGGTCAGTGGACCGACATGATCGATGGCAGTCGTTGTATGGGAGAACTTGGCAATGGCTAAACGATAGACTTGAGGAGGGATGGGTGGCTGCAGATGCTGCATCTTATAGATCGAGAGCAAAAAGAGTAAAAGCTTAGAATATACCCATGGATGCAATATAGATGCCAAATGAGCGTGGTGCCTAGTGGAATGATGTTCGTGGGGAGGGCAAAGTTGAGAGAACTCTAGGTCAATCACTCCCACTGTTGATTAGCGTTGCCCACCCCATTAACATTTTTAAGTAGATTTTGGAAATAAATCAATATGTAGTAAATTCAACATATATATACCTCGTATTTTATTTCAAACTATCGAACTCTCAGAGGTCATATTGAGACTCGAAAAGATCCATATGACGGAGTGCTCCTAGAAAAATTCTACCTGACTATTCAATCAACAAGAATCCATGTATTGTCATCGTCATTAGTTGAACTATTTCAAATCGGAAATTGGTGCAAGTCAATAAGGAGGGCTATATTGTTCCTATGCGGGAATGTTCTGCCTGGGGCATCAATATCTACCACAATGATATCCATTAGTCATCAATAGGAACAACCAATAATCCGACAACGCGCCCTGGAGAAGCGCGGACTTTTGGCTGATCAGTGCCGTTAATCGCAAGCCCAGCTCTAGCCCTCCAGGGCCGCAAGGCATTGACGATTATTTTACTTTTGAAACATATCGCTGGTTCTGATCGCCTACGCGCAAATTTACTACTGCCCTTGAACTGCCGTTGCTGCTGAGCACTTTGCTCTTTTCACAGTCGCATCCAGTGCTCCAACATTCGAACGCGCGAAACCTGCGACTCAAGCCGTCTTACAGCCACTGACTCTCGCTGTCACCTCTTTCGGTCAGAATCAACCTTGTATCGCCCTTGCATTCCGACCTTTCAGAAGCTGAACGAAGTCGCAAATTTGACACCCTTGCAATTTCTCCTGCTCGACTCGTTTGCAAACAAAGACGTATCAAGGGCAGCATCTCTCGAGCCATATCTTCAAAGTCTTCGATCTTGAGACTAGAATATATTGACCTCGGTTGCCCCTCGAATTCTCGAGGTCAAGTTTGTCGGTCTCCCCCGTTGCAAGGACGGAAGCATCCCGTGCGTCTGAAAACGTGAACGGCGCAACGCTGTCGCGTTTCTCCAGCAGCACCATGTCTGCCTCTACCCCTCGCACCTCGCTGCGACGTAAGACTACCATCTCTCAGCCGACAGGTGTGGTGCCTATACTAACTCCACCCACAGAGGGCTTACGCCATGCTCCAAAAATCAACCAACCTTTCATCCCCGATACAACCCCTGCCCGTCGATCACACATCCATCACGGGCTCACATCACCACAACCACAAACCAGCCCCCATCATGTGAACATCAATCCGGCCGCCAATCCCCAAAGCGCGCAGTTCACGGTCGATAGCTGGGAAGGAAAAGACAATCGACAGGTTCCTATGTCGACGAGGGAAGTCCCGACCCCAGGGAACCGACCGGTCATATTTTCCCATTTGCGTGACCCTTCGAAAATGCCCCGGCAATTGGATTATTACGACCCTTATTTCCCACTGAGATATCTCGAGGTTCCAAGAAGTTAGTCTCCCTTGTATCCCATGAATTGACTAGAAATACTGACAGTCTTGTCTCCTTAGCGGATCACATCTACAAACGTGCCCACTACGGTCTGCAGTCAGGTATTCCAGACGAAGTCGACTTTGCGCTGTACCACCTGGTACAAATTTCTAATCAACGATGGGATAAATTCAAATTTGAAGGATTTCCCTTGCTCGCGGAAACTTTGATGCAGAAAGCACTCGACATTACACAACTCTGCACGGGGGTGAAGTGGGAATTCCAGTATGATCCTCGGACGCCGATTGACCGTGTTAATGTGCTCAATTCGTTACATGGCACTCGGGATATTCTGGACAAAATTAGTAAAATCCCAGTGAACCTTCCGGACGACAGCCTTGAGACTTACGACTTCAATCATCGACTGAGAAACATCAAAGAGGCCACACTAGTGTTGCGAAACATGGTGCTCCTGAAGGAGAACGCATTTTATGTGTCGCGTTATGCAAATGGTCTATTACGGGACTTCTTGGTTATCTTGATCAATGCTCCCAATCAACCTCGACTGAATGAAATCAAAAATGATGCACTAGATATCGCCGAGGAGGTCACCAAGTTCTTGCGAACTGACCCTGAAGATCCGTTGTGGATTTCTTTGGTGAATTGTCTTGACTCCCCAGACCGCGCCCACGTCGTGCGGTCCCTGTGGGCCTTGACGCACTTCGGCACTGAGCTGGATGATGCGGATGCAAACCGGGCCATGGAAACCCTGGCCAGACCGACTCTTCAGCAGATGTACTATCACACACTTCTTGACCTTGACAAGGATATCCTGAGTGGTGCACTGGACTTCTGGTATCAATACACACTCAGTCATGACAATATCGAGACATTGATGGATGTCCTCAATTTCCCAATCGTCTTTGTTCCTCGCATGGTCGCACTCCTGACCTATGAAGCACGGCCTACCAAAAAAGAAACTGTTCTCCAGGAAGAAAAAGTCGCACCTCCACCAACTGACATCCCTCGTGTATCCCCCGAGCTTTTGGAAAAGCTCATGGAACTTTCCGAGCCGGAGCGAAGCTCCCAATGGCTGCGTTGCTGCTTTATCGAGGATTCCGAATGCGAGATCACACAGATCGCTTTATGGCAAGCCTACCAAAGTAGATTCGCAGATCCGCGTGTCACAGGCGGAGGCGTCCTTCCCGCTGCCGAGTTCATTAAGAACGTCAGTAACACATTCACAAACGCTCAAGCACAGGTCATCAATGGCCCCGGCACTGCCACCAAATTCATCATCAAGGGTATCCGACCTTTAGAAACGGCCCACACATTTGAGGGCTTCCCTTATTCCTACTGCAGATGGGCGGACAACTCAAAGCCATCAAAGATGTGTCAGCGCGCATTCACATCTCCGACAGATCTCCGGAATCACGTTTTCGGCGACCACATGAACCTGGAACCTACAGACACTCCCGGTCAGTATAAGCTCGATACCGCAGATTCTCCCATCCACACCTGTCAATGGGACCACTGTGCACGGTTCCGAGCATCTGGCCCCAGTCCCAACACGTCTATGGTTGCTGGTCACGTTTCGTCTCATCTGCCCGAAGATCGCCCCGCCGACGCACAGCCCACGACCGCCAAGCGCGTGGTTCTCCAAGAGCGTATCGTCCGCAAATGGTACTACATGGATACTCCGATCAATGAAAAGGGCGAGCCATTCGGCGTGGCCTACAAAGCTGCCTTGGTGCTGCGCAACATCGCCCGGGGCCTGCCGAATCGGACTACGTCCAAGTACGGTGGTCTTCCCTGGAAGAAGGCCTGCTTCACGAGCCAGCGCCCCAAGATCGTCGAAGTCTGGGACCGAAATCGTGCGCTGCGCAAGGAGCTTACCGAGTTAATCATGGTGATCGAGAAAGAGGTAGACTATTAAATTTCCTATTACATGTTTTCCGGTATCGCAACTGCCTCTTTTTCTTTTCTCATGAATTCATATCTCTGTACGATTAATACCCTGATTATTCATGTTCTCGCTGTCTTTCTGGCTCCCAGGTCCTCCATCTTGTCTAAATGTACAATATCTAAGAGCCAGGACCACATTGGCGGTGTTTCCTTGTTTCTGTTTTGTTTTTTAATGGCTTGTCGCTTTGATGTAATCCCAGTTTCGCAAAAAGGCCCCCGAAGAGTGGAGTTGCATTACTACCTAGGTATGGGTATGGGGTGGGTTGATGTCTGATCTTTTCTGGCGTCTATTAATAATAAAATTCGAGATTTATTAGTTAGTATACTGAGAGGCTCGGGGTTTAATTAACGCTTTTTTTTCGTTTAATTTGTCTTTTCTTACCCAAATGCATGTGTGTATACATAGTCCGTAAAAATAAATTGAGACACCCTTTACGTTCCCAATCGAAGAATAGACATGACAATATTAAGCGTTTCTTTCACATATATACCAACAACCCCCCCTCATCCCCTCGCCTCAGCAGCCACTTCCTCCAAAACCCGCATCGCATCCTCCGCCCTCGCAACGGGTACATAGATATGATCATGAAAATACCCACTGATGACATTGGTACTGATACCGTGGTCCTTCAGCCGGTTAGTAATGGCAGCGATCAAGCCGACCGCTTCCAGGCTGGAGTGGATAGTAAGAGAGATCTTCTTGCAGGGGAAAGTTGACTCGTTGAAGCTGTGCGATGTGGCAAGTGCTTCTGTTGTCACGATCGTTGTGCCCTCTTCTTCTTGCACGATTAGTTGTGGTTGGAGTGTCGAGAGGGGTAGTGAGTGGAGGGGTGATTTGGTTGTGAGGAAGACATAGGTTGTTGGGTCTAGGCTTGGTTGCATTGTTGCCAGAAGAATTGAGATGTTGTTTTCGCCTGGAGATGCCATTTGGAAAGATGAATTGGAGCAACTTGCTTTAGGGGATGATATATGCGGAAACGAAGATGGGTATAGGGTTGATGTCATCTTAGGGCATGCCCAGGTGGTTAAGGTTGGCTTGCAAGAAATTTAACCAATGAGAGCGCAATATAAAATCTATGCGTTAAGTTGGTAGATGTTTATGATTGAATACAATACACTCTGGTTTGGAACGATTGAAAACAAATGACAATCTGTATAATAGCAGTAATTCGTAGATATCCATAGAGAGGTTGAAATGTGTGGCGCAAATTAAGCCGATTTAAGAGCCGAGAAATATAAGACTAGACTATGGAATACAGTACTTCCCGAAACTGGTGTCACCACCCACACTCTTCGATTGCTTCTCGAACCCTAATGCCAAGATATACTACACCATATTACTGTAAGAATAGACTCGGAATATTAATATTCCTGTAAAATTACCCAAACTGTACTTTACTCATAAGGATACCTAAATTCGTGTATCAGCACTGTATAGTGTAGCCATTATAGCTGGAACTTTCCATATGGACGACAGACGCTAATAAGTCAGCACGAGGAGCTGGAGTGGCCCCCTCCATTTGAGACTTGGCACTTCGAGGGTCTCCCTCCTGTGCATCGTGGGCTACTCTAAGCATGCTCGTTCCATAATTTTTGGCTTTTATTCTATGATCGCCGATGACAACAAGAATGATATTCTCACATGACGACTACACGGTCGCGTGGATCTGCGCCTTGCCACTGGAAATGACAGCGGCCAAGACGATGCTGGACAAGCTCCACCATCCACTGTCCCAGCCCAAATCCGACCACAACGCCTACACATTTGGTAGCGTTAGTGGACACAATATAGTAGTGGCCTGCCTACCGTCGGGCGTTTACGGAACCACCTCTGCAGCAGTGGTGCTTGCTCACATGCTTCCAACGTTTCCGTCTCTTCGATTTGGTTTGATGGTAGGCATCGGGGGCGGTGTACCTAGCAGGGATGCCGACATTCGCCTAGGCGACGTGGTTATCAGCATGCCAACTGCGACCTCTGGGGGCGTGGTTCAGTATGACTATGGGAAGACGCTTCGTGATAGATGCTTCGAACGCACTGGGTCGCTCAACAAGCCACCGCAATATTTGTTAACTGCAATATCTCAAATGCGCAGTGGGATCATGGGTGGAAGCACACTGATTGAAGAAATCACATCAGAGATACTTCCGAAACACGAAAAGCTTCAACAACAATTTTCACGCCCAGATAAAGATTTTCTGTTTCAAGCGAGTTATGACCATGAAAGCAGGAGTGCTGATTGCTCAAAATGTGAACCGGACCAACTAGTGGCGCGCACAACACGAGAAACCAAAGGGCCCGTCATTCATTATGGTCTGATTGCGTCTGGGAACCAAGTCATGAAAAGTGCCACAACACGAGACGCCGTTGCCCAAGAGCTAAATATCCTCTGTTTTGAAATGGAAGCAGCCGGGCTGATGGATCAATTGCCATGTCTTGTCATCAGAGGAGTTTGCGACTATTGCGACTCGCATAAGCACAAAAAATGGCAAGGATACGCCGCTCTCACTGCCGCTGCTTACACCAGGGCTCTTCTGGGAGTAGTCCCTCTATACAGCCATGGCCAAAGTAGTGACGCAAAAGAAGCGCGCCACTGGATGGTACCCTTTGCTCGAAATCGCCGATTCGTTGGCCGTCAACAGGAGATTGATTATCTTGAAAGGTTTATTATTCATGCAACAAGCCCGACCAAGGTTGCTATTCATGGACTAGGAGGGATTGGCAAAACACAAATCGCCCTAGAACTGGCCTACCGCATGCGAGAAAGTGTCCCCGAATGCTCCATTTTTTGGATTCCGTGTATCAACTACGAGAGTGTGCAACAAGCCTACGTCAACATTGCCTCGGCTCTAGGCATTTCGCACATAGAGCCAGCGAAGATGAAAGAACAAATCAAAGCTCATCTTAGTCAAGACATCGCCGGAAAGTGGCTTCTGATTTTTGACAACGCAGACAATATGGAAATGTGGACCAAGGGGAGCGCGACTGCGCCACCGCTCAAAGATGATCTCCCCCGCAGTGAGAACGGTCATATTCTCTTTACCTCACGCAATCGAAAGCTAGCTGTGAAAGTGGCATCACCAAATGTTCTGTCTATTCCCGATATCGATCAAATCACTGCCACAAAGATTCTAGAAAGTTCACTCATCCAAGAGGGTCTACTGCATGACAAATATACAACTAACGCTCTCCTTGAGCAGCTTGGATTTCTACCGCTCGCAATAAACCAAGCCGCTGCCTACATAAATGAAAACGAGATCGTGCTATCAGATTATCTGTCACTATTGAAAGACCGAGAGACAGACGCAGCCGAGCTGTTGTGTGAGGAGTTCCAGGATGACGGACGATACGCCGAGACTCAAAACCCAGTGCTTACTACCTGGTTGATCTCCTTTCAACAGATCCATGACTTGGATAAATTGGCAGCGGAATATCTGTCATTCATAGCCTGCATTAACCCACGAGATATCCCGCAGTCGATTCTTCCATCTCCAACTTCGACAAAAAAAAAGGTTGATGCACTAGGTCTTTTGAGCGCGTATTCCTTTATCAGCAAACAGGCTGGTGGAAGCTCATTTAGTCTTCATCGACTTGTGCATCTTGCCACACGGAACTGGGTGAGGAGAAGGGGGTCCTTTGATCTTTGGGTACGCAGGGCAACTCAGCAATTGGATGATATCTTCCCCGATGATGACCACAACAACCAAGGTCTATGGAGGGACTACCTACCGCACGCACTCTATTTGATGAAGAGTGAAGAATTCCATAATATTCACTATGAGTTCGTTAACTTTTCTTCAAGGGTAGGAAGATCTCTACACAGTGATGGAAGGTATCATGAGGCAAAAGCTCTGCTTGATGAATGCCTGGAAGCCCACGAGAGAAACCTTGGTCCAGAGCACCCCGACACTCTCGCCAGTGTTAGCAACCTTGGTTCAGTGCTTCGAAAACAGGGTAAATACAAAGAGGCCAAAGCTATGCACCTTCGAGTACTAGAAGGCAGAGAGAAAGCTCTAGGATTAGAGCATCCCGACACTCTCGACAGTGTTAGTAAGCTTGGGTCAGTGCTTAGGCGACAGGGCATTTATAAGGAGGCCGAGGCCATGCACCGCCGAGTATTCGAAAGTAGGGAAAAAGCTCTAGGACTAGAGCATCCCGACACTCTTGACAGTATTAGTAAAATTGGGTCGGTCCTTCGACGAGAGGGCAAATATAAAGAGGCTAAAGAAATGTACTACCGAGCACTAGAGGGCAGAGAGAAAGCTCTAGGACTAGAGCATCCGAAAACTCTTACTACTGTCAACAATCTTGGTTCAGTGCTTCAACGACAGGGACAGTACGAAGAAGCCGAAGCTATGCACCGCCGAGCACTAGAAGGAAGAGAGAAAGCTCTAGGACTAGAGCATCCCACCACTCTCGCTAGTGTCGACAATCTTGGTAAAGTGCTTCATCAACAGGGCCTATACAAAGAGGCAGAAGCTCTACACCGCCGAGCACTAGAAGGCAGAGAGAAAGCTCTAGGACTAGAGCATCCGAAAACTCTTACTACTGTCAACAATCTTGGTTCAGTGCTTCAACGACAGGGACAGTACGAAGAAGCCGAAGCTATGCACCGCCGAGCACTAGAAGGAAGAGAGAAAGCTCTAGGACTGGAACATCCGAACACTCTCACTAGTGTCAACAATCTTGGTTCAGTGCTTCAACGACAGGGACAGTATAAAGAGGCCGAAACGATGTACCGCCGAGCACTAGAAGGCCGAGAAAGAGCTCTAGGACTAGAGCATCCTAACACTCTGACTAGTATTTACGATCTTGGTATGGTGCTTGACCTACAGAGCCAGTACGAAGAGGCCGAAGCTATGCACCGCCGAGCACTAGAAGGAAGAGAGAAAGCTCTAGGACCAGAGCATCCTGATACTCTCGCCATCAAAGAACGTATTACCCTAACTTCCGTCCAAGAAGAAGCAAGACATCCTGTAGAAAGGGTTCTTCACAATCACCCTCTTTTCACATTCTTGCTTAGTACTTCCTCTGTGCCTCCATATTATGACTTGAGCGAGATTGATTAAGAATGTATGCCTTAATCCGGCGTTTATCTGCTTTTTGGACGAAGACCGTCACAATTTTACTAGTCTTTCAATTTAATCTGAGACGCATGGAATCAGTTGGGTGATTGTCGTTCTCACTTTCTCGATCCTGCCGTTCATGGCTATTGGCAACGAATGCAAATTTCCCCGCAATATCGCACTCATCGCCCAATATTTATCAGAGTAATTACAGAAACCGCTCAACACCTCTCAGTTAGTGAGCAGTCAAATTACGCAAGAGAACACCATGAGTAGTAGGCCTCTCTAAAGTACCAGAAAAAGTGAACGTTACAGTAAAAAAGTAAACTCACAAATGACTGTTGGACTTGATTAAATCAACTATCGAGGCAAACTCTATATATCGAGCCTGGGCAGCTTATTGTGCTTTTTGTTGGTGCAAAGGTAACTCTACAGTATCTTCAGATCCCATAGTATGGTGACTAGCAAATTTATATCCATCCTTCGCTACCCATTCCCTCAAAGCCTATGCTTTTCTTATATCTCGATTCTTAACGTGAGATAAAGTGCAGTATTCATCGCGCAGGTCGAGATTACGCTTGTCGTAACCACCTACCTTAGCCGTTTGTAATACAGATAGCTCTCCACAACGGATCATATCATAGGTAAGCTCGTGTTTTGAAGGGTATAAACTAGGCACTGTTCTAATTTGACCCGTGATTCATGATCTGCCCGTACCAAGGGATGCCGGTTTTCAAAGTGGGGTATGGAGGTGTCGATTATATTAATGTTACAATTGAATACATCCCGCCATATGTCCTGTTTATATACGTAAGAAACAATACAGGCTCCACTGACAAGGGTACTCCGGAATAACTCTCAATATAGACTAGTCTATCTTAGCAGTTAGGATTTAAGGTTAAGTCAAAGAGTACAAGTAGTAACACGAGTTTCGGGAAGCACTGTACAACAAATTTCAATCTGTGTTATAACAGTAATAATATCCGAAAAAAGACCTTCGCACTTAGTAGTCACCAGTAGGAATTCCACCCAGAGTCGGAACATGCTGTCCATGGAATCCAAACCCAACAGCCCCATCAACATTTGCTCGACCAAGCTCCGACAAGTTACGAGCATCAAGGCAGAGCAAATAACTCTTACCACGCATCCCGTCGAGCACCACGCTAAGAAGTACACCATCATCCTCACTAGTGCCCTCGGGGTTAGCGACGAAAATGGGCTCACCGGGCGATTGCCCGTGGCATGCCCAGAGCTGAACTTGCTGGGTATCACAATCGAGCTTCGTGATTCCATCTGTCAGAGTTGCCTTTCCACGGAAAGTCACAGCGTAGACATATCGGTGTTTTTGAGTGACTATTTTCGGATTCAAAGTCGGCAGCTCAGGCGACAATGATTTGCAAACGGACCACTCGACTGTTACTTTCTTGGGATCGGTGCATGGAGTGGAAGGCACCGCAGGTAGGCGGAACCGGGTAAAAGTTGATCGGAAAGAATTGTTTCTCTTCTGTTGGTAGGCCTTGGCTGTATCCAGCGAAGATATCAAGTTCTCGTAATAGACGGATTGTAGAACTTCAGAGCTATCGCTTCTGACAACATCTGCAACAATGTCTATTTCATCGGGATTTTCCTTTGAGGGTTCGACCCATGCGTTGACCGTGTGGAAGCAAAAGAATGCAGGGCTTTCGTATGTCGCGATTAATCCCTTGCCGTGCTTACGGTCAATGACATACCACACTGCCGGCTGACTTGGGTCTGTTGGCAGGATTGAATCCATGAACGAGGAGTCAAACTCCTGTGGATTTAAGTGCGCGTTCCACACACACAGCAAAACATGGTCCTCGGTGATGAGAAGGGAGTGAAGATAAGCTGGTGTTGCGGGGAAGGTTGCTAGGATTGTCGTTTTCCCCGTCGAAGCCGAGACCCTGAAAACACGGTATGTACAGGTTGGTCCCAGGGTGAGATTATAATTGAACATGTCTCCCGTGATTGGATCAGATCGAGCATGAGATGCAGAGAGTTGCCCCGAAAGTTCCGGATGCAGATCGGTCTGGGTGGCGAGGCCGATTGGTTCCAGGGTTTCCGGGTCAAGCTTCTTGAAGGCATTGTAGTCGGTCTTTGCATAGAGAGTTCGAATTCCCTGTGAATCACTCCAGCGTGAAGTCGACTCTTCGGGCTGGGTATCGAGGCCCGGGACGTTGATCGAAAGGGTGACAGATATGTTCATACTCGACGGAGTGGGTTGCGGAGCATATTCAGTCTGGACTTTGCCTAGAATGCTCTTACAAGGATCGCGTTTCTGTCCGAAGTTGATCATATCCAGAGATCCCGTCTTTCTAGCTTCTTCGATCAGGTCGTCGGTTGAGAAGCGAGAGTTGTAGAAAACCTGGGGTGCAGTATGGGAGTCCGGAGCAATGATCTGGAAACGATGGGTTTGACCGAATCCATCGAACCAGTGGGAGAGCCGTAGTATCTCTCCATTCTCAGCTTCAACTTTGCTCTTTCCTGGACCTGTCCGGTACAAGACTCCAGCAGCGTAGGCAGGAATCTGTCCTGTTACCGAGAGCTCGACGGGCTCACGCTGTTCGTATTCGGGATCGAACTATGTAGGGATTAGTATGTATAGTTCGCGGTGTCTATTACTTCACTTACCCCTTTATCATTGGGCCAGTTGTTGTAATGATCTTCGTTCATCTCTATTTCCATGGCTGATGAGTCTGGACCAATAGAAGGCATGTTCTCAATGTTGTGATAGATCGGTGCTTTGGAATTGTTGCCTGATATTTTAGGCTAGTAGTTCAAGATGAACACCTGTCTTTCCTCTCTGGGCTTTTGTAAGAATCTGATTTACTTAAGAGACTGACAAGTTTAGCAATCTTGACGATTTAACCCCTTATATATTTTTTCTAATACTGGACTCATCTAACTATGTATGTTGTAGGCCTAATTTTGGTGTTCGTCATTGGCGGGGGAATCGCGACGGGCTGATGAATTTCACAGACTTCTCCTTTTTCCTCGCCAATCGCCAACGTCGAATTACCGAGTCTCGCTCATTATCGTCACTTTGAGCCGCCCCACGCCTATAACTGAGTTTGAATCTCGGATTGCACATTGAATTTTGGTTTCATCCGGGGTGTCTTGGCGGGATACACCCACCCGAAGGCGATTTATCTTTTTATAGCCCGTCATCCGACACGCAAATCATCTAAATCATCTACCCCGTGAACTCCACTCCATCCGAGGCTATCACCTTTTCGGAGCCATCTATTAAACCGACGCTTTCCCCCATGAAGCAACCAGTGCGAAAACCAGAGGCCAGAACAGGGCCAAGGACATGGAAATGTAAAGAATGCTCCTCAAATTTCCAGCGATTAGATCATATGAAACGCCACGCCCTCACTCGTATGTTTCCGATGGTACTCGAATGCATAAAGTTCATACAGTAATGACTTCCTACAGATCACACGGTAAAGAGACACCTCTGCTCATTTTGCGGCACTACATTCAGCCGAGGGTGTGTCATCTTCCATCATTCCCGAAGAGAGATATGTCACCCCATCATGTGTGCTGACAACAGTAACCCAGAGATGTGCTACGGAGGCATTGGAAATCATGCAAGGCCCGTGTAGACAGCGGCCATGAAATTCCCGAGCCGGAGCGTGGCGGGAAACACAAGCGTGCGTGTGATAGTTGCGCAAGTCTCAGGAAAGCCTGTAATGGGGAAATACCGTGTGCGGAATGCACTCAAAGACAAAGACAGTGCACTTACCAACGGCTTCTCGACGACGAGCTTCCCTTGCCATCTACCTCGCAGTCTTTACTAAAGACCCCGGCTGAGGAAAGTTCAGCTGTGAACGATAATGCCTCTGAGGTTTCCGGGTCAGGCTGGCAACTTGGCCTTGCCACGCTTTATCCATATACTCCGGAAATTAAGGCCCGAAGGCGGTTATTTCCTTTGGGTTGATTAAAAAGACCAAGGACTTACTGAGTCCACCATCCGGGACCAGGTACCTAATAACTGCTTGATTGCGAGCCAAATGGCATAGATACTGGGTGGCAATATGCTTTTGACAGTACGACGACACATTTTGAACACGAGATGCGGATGTCATTGATGAGCGGGTCAGATTGGATTCCTCCGACAGCGTACTTCCCGCTTAGAGAACGGCACCATCGGAATCTGAAGGATTGATTTACTCCATGCTCTCTCGCCTTTCGAGGGCTATTCAGGGTGAAAGTTAGGAGAGAGATATGTTATAGAAGAATATGGACCGGGTTTGCATTACAGTTGATAATGGGTGCGAGGTAGTATCATCTGAGCTGGGAGATTTACCCGTGTTGGAGATTTTTATTTTATTACATTAAACTGTTTCAGCTGTCTATTTGGTGATCATGACACGAGTGGAGAATTTTTTATGTATATCACTACTGGATATGACATCTGGAAATCTCTGTGCAATCCAGGTTCCCCTTCACTCTCCCCGAGATGTGTTATTCACCGCGGCAAGAAAATGGAATCAACGCTATCGTAAACATTTTCGATGAAGTTCTCGTAACTCAACCAAGCATTGTCATCGGAGCCACTTTGTAAGGTCGGGTCCCTCAAATCCATCGCATCCCACACATTGGGCCAGGGCACCGGCGCAAAGGAAGTCGGCACTTCCGCGACATGCGAATCGCGCGGTGCATCAATGGCCTCTCTCAAACCAAGCGAAAAATCCGTGGGATCCTGTTGAGGTTCAGGTTGTTTCGAAAAAGGCCCAAAAGAGATGCCGTCGAAATACGGACACGCCGCTTGGTGGGAAGTATCAACATTAACACCGAGAAGCTCAGTTCTTCGCGTTTTCGCCTGTGACATGAGCCTCTCCAAAGGCTTCCAGAGCATTCCCTGCTGGGAATCTGCAATTATAAGCCGCGAGCGTTGGTAGACGTCGTCAACGACAGTCCAGTACTTTGAAATTACCGCGGGACTTTTGCAGACGCAGAGTTCGGCAAGGGCCACAGCCAATGCGTGCCACGGAACCCACATCGAGACATACCACCGCCAAGACCTGGCGCCTGGGTAGTTGTATGCCTCCTGCGACCAGTGCAGATTGTCAGCTGCGATTTTGAGGAGGGCGTTCTCTTGAATTTTCGGGGGTACAAAATTATAGCTTCGTTGTAGAGGCCGGAGACAGGCTAGCTGCAGCCAGCTGCCCGTAACACCTGCTACCTTTTGCGCGTACCACTGGAATTCCGACAGGTCGGGCCTACATCCGCTCAGAAGGTCTGACGCTTTTTGTTGGAAATCGTGGACGACTTGCTGCCGCAAACTCATGATACTCACAGCTGGCTCAGTGAGGTCCGAAAATGCGAGTGTTCTTGTCACAGACGTTGCCGCTGCGGTAATCAAGGTGTGCGTCATGTCTGTAAATCTGCCATCTGTGTGTTCGTGGACTGGCCCTGGCATATCGAACCAGAGGTCCTCGTCGTTGATATTAGACGGTAGGTTGTAGTCGATCCATACAGATTGCATCATCGGCTCGGATGCCCTGTCTAGTGAGGCTGCTACATCGAGAATGCCGATTCCTAGCCATGCTCGCTTGCGCATCTCGTGCTCGAAAGGGCGCACTGTGAATGGTGGCTGGGGGATGTGGAGGGATAATGCCTGGCCTACTCGGAGTGCCATGCTCAACATGGTCCAGACCCTTCGGCTTTGGTCTTGAGATCGAGCGGCGAGCTAGAATCGTTTAGATAAATTCCGGCAAGAAGTAGGGATGCGAAAAACGAGAAACTTGTAGTATCACTCACCAGAGAGATGATATAAGCCTGCAGAACAGTGAGATCGTTCGTCGTGACAAAGTCCGCCTTGGCGAGCGCTAATTCGGTTTCCTGGTGGAATTCTGCGACTATTGTATTTTTGCTCGTACTGAAAATTGACTGGCATTCCACTTCGTCGAGAGTACAGACAGCGCAAAGATAAATAGCCGAAGCAAGGGTAGCTGGCGCTTGATGATCCTGCTCATAGTCAAGGTAAGGCATCCCATCCTTAATATATGCTTGTAGCGACGGCCGATGTAAAATTTTGAAGAGAGGATCGACATTGTGGAAGAAAATGTCGCATAGCCTGTGCCGGATTTGGGGTTGAAGACTTAATCTTCTGTTGACCTGGGGTGAGTTAGACAAGCTTTCAGGGCTTTCTGAGCTCACAAGCGATGTGCCAAAGCCAGCTGCTGAATCTTCAACACCGCGGTCCCCATTTTCTAGACGACCTTCCAGGACACTGCGCAATTCTTGGGTCTAGTGATTGTAACGTGAGTTAAATCACATCCGCAAATCAAAAGTTTAACAAGCTCACCTGCTGCATGATATCCTCCCAAAATGGCCCCCCAACATAGGCAGTTGAAGGGCGAGGAAGATGTGGTTGACCTGCGCCGAATAAGTTCTCATTCCGATCCTGCTGAGTATTAGGACCGGCATTGCTGGCCCCTACCACCGACTGCTGCTGTGTGTATGGAGATGCAGGCACAGTGACAGCTGAGAAAGCCTTTTGTTCATCTCCTTGCTCATTGGCGACTTTTTTGAGAAGTTTCTCGAGCCTCGCTACCCGCTCAGAGAGTTCCTTGTCCGAGCCTACAATGCGCTCGGGTTTTCGCGTGCGACCGCGCGGGAGACGCGCGCGTTCCACAGGAACACACACGAGGCCAAGTCGATGACAACTTGTGCAAGGACTTGACTTGTCACATTTCACCTTGCGCTGGCGACATGCTTCACAGGTGAGGCGGACCCGTGGCGCAGAGGACCGCGAGTGGGTTGTCCCGGCTTGGCCCCCGGGATCGGCCATTACTGCTGGGGGACCCAATGGGTGTGGATATGGGGCAGATGTAATTAAGATTAATCGGATACTTCGTACAATGTACACCCTTGTCGTGTGCTCCCTCGAACATCCAAGGCTTTTGCATGGGAGGTTCTGCACCAACCCCCGCGAAGCTATTCCAAGGTTGATCCACATTAGATGTGTCTGGCCAATCAGAGGTCGAATTAGTGCTCTCCGTCTTTGCAGATGATCTGCGCAAGTCAAAGGCATATAAAAAAGAGAAATTGGTGCTGAAAGCTAAGAATAAGACTGCTTGTTAGTTTTAGTTAATAAAGGTCTCTCATAACATCCTACAATATTATATCTATTTCGCTCCCATCTTTCGCGACATTTCTTTACTTCCTAATCTGCAATTTTCCGCGCCATATACTATCATCATGGGTTTAATCGGGTCCCAGAGTTTCAAATAAAAAAAACAGGCGGCTAAACTGTCAAGACAGTCACTGGTCTAGAGCCATCGGACATGCCGAGACAGACCCTGAACTCCACTGGTGATGAGCTCCACCTGGCAGAAGACGAAACAGTCTCGCAGCGAACATATCAGGTAGAGTCGATTTATTAGCAATGGGTTGATGTGAAGAATCCTTGGCCTTTATGGGGCGTGCTCCAATTTTTAGCATTGCCGTGGATAGTTTCTGTTGGGGTTTACTCAAATCCAACCAGATACCCAGGTGTGAAACCTGCCGAAACAAGCTAAAATGTCACTAATATATTATCCAGTTCATAACTCGAAAGAACAGATGAGAAACGCTAGTGGTTGACCGACATCAATGAAAGATTTTCACCTGAAAAGAACTTGAATGATTCGCCCACAGCTTGGTAAGTGCCCCTTAGTGACAATAATGGGCCCTGTGAGTATGTCATCAGGTAAGATCCGTGCGTTGCGGCAGAAGACCGAGAATATTTTAAAAAGAGATATCTAGAAAGAGATCTAAAAAGATAGGTACACGGGCTAGAAGGGTAATGATTAGCTATAAAAGTATGGGAATACAACTTAGGAGTATCAGTAAGTAGTAGACATGTCGGGCTTTTATCATTTTTATGATAACTATACGATATAGGTACATAAAACGTACAGACCACTTTCCTATGCATAATCAGGGATGGACTTGCATAACTAGATCACGCTATAGATGATCTGAAACTAGTTCGTCGATGTTACTTAATTCTCCGGCACCGTGCGCGCGGCATTTTCTCGGAAGGGTTAGGGTCATCTGAATTAGATCCGTATTTGATCTTCAGTTCTTTCGATTTCACCGGCAGATAAAGTCTTTGCTGGGATGCTTGAGTCGTGATTAGGGCAGTAAATATTGAAATGTGTGGATAATCAAAGATCCCCGAACTCCCCGAAATTGGAGTTTCTCGGGCTCTAGGATTGCGCAGGTACAAAAATGGGCTGCAGAGGGGAGTGCAGATCGCAGGAACAATAGGGTTGAGTACGAACCCCACCCCTCCTTGAAGCGAAGAAACCCAAGTCTTTATAGGACCTTAACGGGGGGTTATTTGACACTATTGATTTTATATTTTAGGGATAGCCATGACACCGGTATTGTACCATGGATCAATCAAACACAAACAATAAACGAGGGGAAAACTGGATAGTTAGTGGATACATAGTGTGAAGATTCTACAACATACAGTAGTCAGACTAGTGTGCTTGGCTTCCCTTCACACGGCATGCCACTACCGACGTAGTCCGGCTTATGGGAGTAAGATGATCGCGGGTTAATTTGACCATGTGCTTGGACCGATTGATTCCCGAAAGATTAACAAAGCAAAAATTATTCCCATGTTGTAGGGGGTATACACATCCACCTGCGGTGATATTTCAAAGATCAGGGCAGAGCTTCCTATTATGTATAAGCCGTGATGTCTGATCACGCTAGTACCATGGATCAAGAAACTGAATTAACGAATTAGAGGGTGCTGTTACTGGGAACAAAGTTCATGTCATGCGGAGACCATGTGCTCTTCAGGGCAATTCCAAGGTTGCACACCTATTTTATATGGGGATATAATTTTGTATAATAGTATACAATATACAATGCAAGTACGATTTACAATGTACAACGAACCTACCCATTATCCATTCTAATAAGATACAATGCAAGACCACTGATCATCACAAAGTCCCGGATTCCTACGGAGCATTAATCGCCACCTGAGAATGGGGCCCGCTAGCGACCAGGCTGATGGGACAAATCTGAATATTTATACAAAGTATGTATCATCAAAATTAAATAGCGTAGTATTGCCCCGTCTCTAGCTTGGTGGCTGACTGGTGATCTTCAAATCGGGTGGAGAAGATCTCGTGTCCCTCTAACCTTCTCATTATTTTGTTTTTTCGTAAGCAATACCTGACAGTCTAGTATCCCTCTTTTGTACATGTATTAAGAAGCGGGCCATTCTCTCGTAATCCCGCGGGGACTTCGTCTCGACTCTCGAGCATTGAGAAACTGGCGTTCACATCGACTATAAGTCAACAGAGGGGCTTTGCGATCTCTCTTTCAGCGCATTGAATACCCTCCTGTTCACAATCACAGTCTCTGCACAAAACTTGGCCTTCAATCATTTATATACGCCTCTATGACACGATGACTACTCTATCAACATCCCGCGGTCACCAGGCCCTCGCCATCAGCATTGTGTTTACGACTATAGCTACATTCATTACTGCCGTCCGTATATTTACACGAGCATTTCTCGTAAAACAGATGGGAGCGGATGACTATGTCATCCTCGTCTCTCTGGCCTTCTCATGGGGTTTCTTCGGCCTGATGGTAGGCGAAGTCTACCATGGCATGGGCGAGCACTATACCGCTATCCCGGCCCCAATCTATAAGGCCCAGATGATCGTACGCTTCACCTCAGCTTCACCTCTCTCCAAAGTAATTCAGTTCCACTGACATGATTCTCTTACAGTGCTTTTGGGCTTCAATTCCCATATATCAAACAAGCCTCATCAGCACAAAGATGTCAATCCTTCTACAATACAAACGAGTCTTCTCCACACCACGCATGCGTTTGGCATGTTGGATCATGATCGGTTTTCTAGGCCTCTACGGAACCTGGACTATCATTAGCGCCTGGGCTAGCTGTGTTCCTCTCGCCAAGTTCTGGGATCCAACTGTCCCGGGCTTCTGTTTGGATAAGAAAGCCTTGTGGTTTTCAAACTCAGCGATCCACATTATCACCGATATCCTCATTCTTATATACCCAATGCCGGTCCTGAAATCACTACAATTGCCCAAGAAGCAAAAGTTCGCTCTGATGGCTGTTTTCGCGCTAGGTGGATTGTAAGTCCAGCTCAATATGACGACAAATCGTCTGCAATGCTAACGCTCTCCTCTCAGCGTCTTGATCACAAGCATACTCCGCCTCAAGTCTCTACTCGTCATCTCCAACTCAAACGACCCAACCTGTAAGTATTAACAACACCAATCAACCCTTATCCATGAGCCAAACCTAACAAACAACCCCAGACGACAACGTCGGCGCAGCAACCTGGTCCGCCGTCGAGTGCAACGTAGCAATCATCTGCGCCTGTCTCCCCGGCACACGCGCCTTCCTCTCCAAGCTCCTGCCTCACATTTTCTCCACCCGAAGCAACGGCTACCGCAGCAAGACGACACGACCTTCGCGAATCGGTCGCAATCCCCACACAGGCAACGGCAACACACAAGTGCTTGCCTCTGTCGTCGGCGGGCGTGACCACAGCTCGGGCTACGACCACGATCTGGAAGAGCTTACGCCGTCTGGTTCCTTCAATAGTTACACCAAGGAGCCTGCGAAAGAGGCTTTTGTGGGCATTAAGGTCACGACAAACGTCACGCAGGAGAGGACCTCGCAGTCGAAGATTGCTGTTAATGATGATACGGGAAGTACGAAGGAATTGGTGAAGAAGCATAGCTTTTGATCTATAATGATGGTTGGTTTAACGGGTTCATTCTTTATACATATTTCTTTTTTTCTTGGGTGGTCTTCTCTCTTGTCTTATATACCTATGGCTTTTATGTGGCGGCCTTTTTTTGCTTATTTTCTGTGATCTTACGCGATGATATACCCCAATTTAACAGGCAGGCTGTGTCTCACAGTTGCAATGCCATTACTATCGAATATCCAAGGAGTCTTGTCTCAACGATCCAGGTATGAGAGCTGGCTAGTGGCTTATTAGATCGCGGGTTCAAAATAGTCGGACTGATTGTATGGAGTACCACAAAGCAAAAGTTGTGTCAATCTTGTCTCCTAGAAAGGACATGGCTGGAATTACAACAATCATTTCATTAAGCTAGGATCGTTTCTAACCTCAAGGCTACCTACAAAGTGTTCAAACATGAGCTCTAGGGTATTATGAATGCATTGTAAAAACAAGTGTACAGATATCGAAGCGAACAAAACGAGCTAATCATTCAGTATGCATGAGACCCGCCCATCGTACATTCGGAAGCCGCCCACATTTCAGAAACTAAGGGGTCGTGACATGGAAGATGCATAAAGGACAAAATAGAAAAAAAAGATTCTAGGCAAGGATCACAAAAACGATGAACACCCGTATGTGCAATGTGAAAATATGCTTGCCGATACGAAGATGTCATCATGCAAATCCTAGAGACTTAAGATATGCGTCAATTCTGGACCTGTTGCAAAGAAGATTTAATCTACTCCCAAACGTTGGAGAAGAGGTCATCGGATCCGCCAAATCCACCAGACTTGTTGTTATTTGTGCTTGAGGTAGGGTTTGAGACTGGGGCAGCGCTGGCCCAGCCGCCAAAGTCCTCGTCCGCTGCTACAGTGGGTGCAGGCTTGGAAGCAGCACTGGGCGCGCCCCAGCCGTGGCCCACGTCGTTCGGGGTCAAGGTGTCGGGGACCTTCATCATAGATGCAGGCGACAGTGCGGCAGGGGCAGGCGCTGGGGCAGGATCAGGTGTACTCCATGCGTTCCCGCCCCATGGATCAAGGTTTCCAGACATCATGCTGGCTGCTGCCGCGTTCGCAGCACTGGTGGCTGGCGCTTTGGGAGGGGCAGGAGGCTGCATCGGGGGAGCAGAGATATTAAACGCAGATTTAATTTCCTGCCGAGGAGAGGTTGCAGTGGACTTTGGGGGAGAGACCGTTGAAGCGGATGCAGGAGGAGGCGAAGAAAACCCAAACAGGTCATTTGACAAGGACGATGATGGAGGGTTAGGCTTAACAGTGGGAGAAGTAAATCCACCAAATCCGAAATCTTGCCCAGTAGAGGAGACGGAAGTTGTCCGGGACTGGGACTTCGGGGCCGACAAGGTCGGTGAGGTGAAGCCATCAAAGAAGCTGCCGCCCGCAGACCCCGAGGGCGATGTGACCTTCGGGGCGGCGGGGGTCGACTTGGCGCCGCCGAAAGATGAGAGATTAGAGAACGCGGATGGCCTCTCAGCCGGTTTAGCGGGTGGAGGAGAAGTAGTAGTTGGGAAACTCAGTCCACTGAAGGCATCCGTCAGGCCGCCCATGTGAGACGAAGCGGAGGGGGCAGGGGGCGAGGCCATGTCCCCGAAGGAGTTGCCCCGCTGGTGCTGCATGGGTGCCGGCTGCGGCTTCGAATACAATGACAAGATTGATTGTTTGAGGTCTGGCCGAGACATTCCGGCTGGTGCTGCTGGTGTGGATGCTGTGCTAGACGGGCGACTGCTAGTGGTAGGCTGGGTGCTACCGAAGAAGTCGAGACCTAGCAATGAATCGTTGGGCTTGTGAGTCTTGACCGGTGCGGGTTGTGCTTGTCTGGGTGGCGCGCGCGGAGTAGGTTCGGTTGTGCTAGGGCGATTCGGGGGAGAGATATCGTCGCCGAACAGATCGATTGAGGCTTGTTGACGGTGTACCGGGGGCTGACTGGTAGTGGCGACTCTTTGCGAAGCAGAACGTTCAATCTTTGCTTTCTCCTGTACAACCGCAAGAGGCTAGGAAGTCAGTGATTGCTGTCAACTGGCTGGTATACCGCCCGATAACTTACCACATCGTCATCGCCGTCATCCAGGGCCGAGGGGTCCGGCATCTCACCGTCCATTACCCACCGCTTGCTCTCATACTTTGTCCGGATGAAGTTCTCAATTTTTCTGTTCGCTGATTGTCAGAAACTACCACCACCCAACGAGTGCCATTCGAATGCACTTACGCATCGGAGGGAACGTGACCGGGGGCCAGTTTCGCTTCCCAATATCTGTGTCCTATTAGCCCATGCCCCAATGTGACCGGTCAATTGGTTGCGACTAACTTATTGGCTCTCCCATTGCCCCATCTCACAACACTCTGAAGTTGTTCATCGGTCCACGCATCGAGATCCACGGACTTGACTCGGCTGATATGTGTGCCCATTCCCCGGTGAATGCCCGAGCACCGAATGCAAACAAAGACACCCAGGTTCCAAGAAGCCCATCGCGGATCTATTCAGAAATCAATTCAGTAAATTAACGCCAAGAAATAGCCTCAGAGATGAAGCCAGCGTGGGCGCAACTCAAGGAGGAGACCGGGGACCACTCACGCTTGTTCCGTTTACAGTCGGCACATATCTTGTTATGCTCGAGTTTCAGCAGAGTCTTGATAGTCTGCGAGTTTTGGGCAGCTTGGCCTGGAGTAGGACGTCGAGACATAATAGCAGCAACTCAAGTATCGATGGTGAAAGGGATAGGGAAACAATGAGTCCTAATTATTCTTAGGTGGCGGTCGGCACACGGTTGCGGCCTAAGGCCGCGGTTTGTATACGGATGGGGGAAAATGCCAGTCACGCAATTTGATATCATGGGGTCATTGACCAATAACAGTAGATATTTGAAATGATAAGCTACATTGGATATTTACTTTGGTCTTCACTTAAGGGATTTCGTTTAAAGTTGAGATCTACAAAACGTGGTTGGTCCACTCAAACGACGCCTCTCCGTATCATGCATGTCGGCCTTTTTGCAGCCTTAGTCCCCGCAAAACAAATGATGATTAAATGTCATGAAGATCTATCAAGCTTTCGCCCGAGGATTCTTAGCAGCGCTGGCATCTTCTGTAAAACGCAGACTGACACTATTCACACAGTGACGCTCATCCGTGGGAGTCTGATACCCCTCACCCTCGAATACATGGCCGAGGTGACCCCCACAGTTCGTGCATACGATCTCTGTCCGCTTCATGCCAAATGTGGTATCAACGTGTCTAGTTACAGCACCAGGGATGGAATCAAAGTATGCTGGCCATCCACAGCCAGATTTGAACTTGTGATCGGCAGTATAAAGTGGCGCATCGCAACCAGCACAATTGTAGACGCCTTTGGACGGGTAGTGGGAATCGTATTCACCGGTGCCAGCGCGCTCAGTACCCTTCTCACGGAGAATGCGGAATTGTTCTGCAGCCATTATTGTAAGCTCAGATCAATCATATATGCCCTAAGAGGTGAAAAGTCTCCATGGTATACAAACCTGGGTTCAGAACAGCTCTCCACTCATCTTCGCTTCTCTGGTTGGGGGGCGACATGGTTTCGGTTGTTTGTTCAGGGGTGCGGTTGGAGCTAAAGAAGGCACCGAAAAAAGGAATGGTCGGTGCAGCTATAAGAGCCTTGGTGCTTGTCTTCGAATGAGGAGGCTTGCGCGTTGAGGACAAAAGTCTGGAGGAGCAAAATGTCGGTGCAAGTCGGATGGGGATGGGTTGGTGTCTGAGGGGCGAAATAATATTGCGAGATAGTTGGGATCGCATAGAGACAGAGTTGATAGGAAAGTGAGAAAAAAATAAGAGTGACCGGCAACTGAAGATGGCAGTGGGGTGAGGCTAATCCCATATAGGCACCTCCATCTGGGAGAGAGCTCGGGGTTTACGTCATCATGCGGGGAGACCCAGGGCTGGTTCGGGGACTCTTTACGGCCTAGACTGATATCGCTGCTGCTTCTGCGGTCTATAGTATGAATAGATTTACAACCCCCTAGATTTATATATATATATATATTCTTGTCCACAGCATTCCAAACCTAGTTGTTTGTGTTTTGGAAAAATATTTGATCATTCAATTCAGCTCCAGGTCCCACCTGGGAAAACTCCGGCAGTGCAGGGGTATCTCAACAGCAAATCTGACATTAAGAAAATAAAGGAGGAAGAAAAAAAAGGCAAAGAAAGAATCAACGGCGATTCACGCCGGTCACTAACATGGAGCCCCGATTAAGCTCCACGCGCCACCCCTCCTTCAACAGCATGTTCCACACGGCGGGTCCAATATGTGACTTGCGGTCGAGGGAGTGGTGACCAACACCGCACACAATATTGAACCCGCCATGGGAGTGTTGTCCCCCACCACGAACGTACTTCTGATCCCCCAGCCCGTCCCACCACGCCTGCACGCGCTCACGGGCGATTCTGATCGCGTTTGCCACCGTCACACCATGCAGATCCAGGTCGTATTGGGTCGACTGGCGGGCCACCAGCCGGTCTGAAGCTGTGGCCAAATGCCGCATTGCAAGCTGGCGTTGCTCGTTTCCGACGTCCCGGTAGTATGCAGAGGCGCCGCCGTAGAGGGGGTTGGAGCGTGCGCGGCGGGCGGCCTGGGATGCCTGGGCAAGCGCAACTGATCGCGCTGCGAAGTGAGAGTTGGCGGCAGCAGCAGCTTCGTTGAAATCCATGAAATCCGAAGCACTATCTGTCTGCTGAGTTGGGGCCAAATTCTCCTCTTCGTCACCGAGAGCAACCGGGGATGACACGAAACTGATAATATTTGAAACCGAAGTCAGATCAGGGCGGCGAGCCAAAGTGTCAGCCAGTTCATCTGCGGCTGGGATTTCATTATTTGCAATTCGAATCAAGCCGCTTAAAGTCAACGGATTGATTCCGGGGTACTTGTGACTAAGCTCCCCCACTTGCGTGACGAGTACAGGATCGTCTTCAATCTCATGGATGTCTGTGGGCGCATGGGCCTGTGCCAAGACTCTGATTGTTGCACAGAGTGACATTGAATTTTCATGATAAGTCGAGGCAATTTTCTCCCTCTGCAAAGCGCAGGCCCGCGAGGAAAGAAATTCGATATCTTTCTTTCCTGCCTCCCATTTATTGGTAGTGTTATTCATAGCGTGGGATGCTAGATCAACTCGACGTTGTTTCTGCTTTTTCTTCTTTCGGGATTTTTGGCCGCCACCGTTCTGATTCTCCTTGGCCTGGAAGCCATCGATTGACTTGGGGATGGAGGATTGACTGTCTTGAGCGGCCTCCTTCGGGGTCTGTTGGGGAATTTCTCTGGCAATTTGTGTCTCTTCAATGAAAGCAAGATTGAGCAAGACGTCCATCGAGCGGCTGAGGTTGTCATGACAATCTTCGAGGATACGCTCAGCTTCCAGACGAGTAATAGTTGGGAACATGCTAATCAAGTTCTGTGCCTTGTCTGCAGTTGTCATACCCAAAAAGGTATATGCAAGCTTGGAGCCTTTGATCCTTTCAGCTTCGCGGCTGGTGCTGTTGGAGTCGCCATTCTCCTGTTCATAATTTTCAAGCGATGGCCAGCTTGTAAAATTCGAGGATGCATCGTCAGACGATTCGCCGATCAAAGAGCCTGAGACATCGGAGTTTCGAAGGTTGGTTGTACCTGTGGGGTCAAATGGCAAGTTTTCTTGCTCAACAGCAGATGCGTTCAGCACGTCCAGGGTTTCGCGTAACTGTTCGACCTGAGTGGGGATCGCCAGGTCAAAGTCTGATACGATCGCAACGAACAGTGCAGGATCAATCGGTGGACAGTATGTGCTTTCAAGCTCCTGAAAAGGCACACACGTCAGAACGGAGCATGATAAGTAAGTGGTGCGACAAGCAAGTGGTGCAGCAACAAAGCTATGCCTAAACTATGTGTGAGTCTGTGCGACACGGCGTACCTTGAAGAGCTCATCGCCACAGTCCCCCATGGCTATGATAATGGATTTGGTGGTAGTGGTATTGGATTTATTGGTATGGCTCGCTGCGAAAGACTGGGAGTTTGGAGAATTGTAAAGGACGTTATGGGAAATGACCAAGGTGAAAAGTGGCTTTTTTTTCGTGATGATCTTGATAGCTCCGCGATAAGATTGGGATAGAGATCAATGCGGGCACCGGTAATGATGGGGGAACCAATCACAGGGCCGAAACGCAGTCACATGATTACATCACGTGGGTGGGGTAGTAAGAGGCACGTGTACGTGTATGAGGATCACGTGTTTAGGCGCAAATTCTAAAATAGTGTAGCTGAGCCTCATCCTAAAACTGATCGGATATTACGATTTGAGTGGCGCTGCTTTTTTCTGTGATCTAGAGACTACTGACAAGAACAGAGCATAACTATATATGCTTGTCCTGTCCAACCCGCTGGAACCCGCACTTACACCTATATCCCTACATCTGCCTCTCCAAGCTACGGCAGTATGCGTGGAAGTTAATGCTTCTAATTATGCACAAGTCATGGTTTCTATGTAGAGTGCACCCTATATTGGCTTCTTGTAGTTTGTTGATCCATGGAGTCTGCTTGTTCATTCCTGTAACTATAGCTGATTGACTCCATTTCCTATAGCCTTATTGGGGCCCTACGCATGTAGGCCAGAGCAAACTCTTTCCATATGTACAAAGAAAAATATGTGTTATATGTACTGATATCATTTCTTTAAGCACTACGTTATTTGTCTCTAACATTCCAATCATCAAGCATTTGATGACATATGTAATGCCTACTGATATCTCTGGGGGTATATCGATCATCTAATTATAAACATAGTTTTTGCAGCTAATGCGAACCTATTTGATAACCCATCATTTCAACTTGAGTAAATTGATTGCAGCATGTGATTCAAGAAGCATTAGCATAATCACCCGATGGGGACAAGTTTATATCCCTTATTGAAAAGTAGTGAGAGATGAGTAGAACAAGGCCTTATACTGATATTTTAACACGCACAGTGCTATACTACAAAGAGAATATGATAATATTTAGTAAAGATGTACATTCGGTGATTTTGTCAAGTTACATGAGTCTTACTATCATCGGAGCCTCATAGCGAACGTCGGGGTCTGGTTCCGGCTCCAATTTACTTCGGTGCCCCTATCCGACTTTTGAGCCGACCAATGTGACTATATCTTCAGCCGATGATGCTAATCTAGATAAATCCTACAACCAATTCTTTGTTTGTGTATCTCAAGCATCAAAAGTCTTCTCATAATGTTTTCATGCCGCTGTCTTCGAGCAAAGACAAAAGCGTTTTCACCGTATTCTTTCGGGTCTTTGCAAAGCTTTTCGAGTACCGGAGTAAGATATATGGCTACTGCACGAAGAAAGGAATTCCTTTGCATCCTTCCCGACAACCCAAATGTCTTGGCTATCAGAAAACAAGTTAAAGGGTTGGTTTATCATAAAATCCCTAGGTTAGACTGGGTATAGCTAACATCGACTAGAATCCACTATGACGGAGTCAAACCATTAGTGACCGCCGGAAAGCTCGTCGACGGAGGTGCCATATTTGAGAAACACCCCGAAGAGGGCAAGGATGCCCTGTTTAAGGGTAGCGTGATTGTGTACTCGGCCAATAGTGCTGAAGAAGTCCGCGGCATCATCGAGAAAGATATTTACGCCACTAGCGGTGTGTGGGACTTGAGCAAAGCACAAATTTTGCCTGTTAGTAGAGTGTTCCATCTCCATAAGTTCATGCTAACAAAAGTAGTATGTCCCTGCCGTTCGAGAGCCACTTCCATGACGAATATAGATGTCCGAAATGTATATAGAAACCAGCGAACAAGAGAGCTTGTACTGAGTTTAAAGGACTAAATCGTACTAAATACCAAATTGTATGGTGCAATAGGTGTAGTGAAGCTAGATATTCTGATTCTATAAAAATGCCGGCAGCCTAAGGGCATAATCTTTGATTGCAAATTTGTTATGACTCTCTTGGTTGATAAATATATGCTGTCTCAGTACCTACATCTCTCTCTCTCTTTTCTTGTCTTCCAGTCCTGACTCTTTTATTGGATATAGGCTAACACCCGTCACTTTCCGGCTGGCATTATTTGGACACCTGGTGGCTATATAAGTCAGTGGAACGCGCAACTTTCTTCCACTGTGCGAGCCTCCACTGCTGTATAATCACAGAGCTTAACGGCTCCCACTTAATATTTCAGCCATATGAATAGGCACTCGATTATGCCGTGGTCCTAATTGCCTAGTACAAAGCTTAGAAGAGGCTTCGAAGTTCGACATGAGGAATTGAACACAACACATCAACGTGTCCGTGATTATTTCATTGATTCATTCGTATGCGAATGTTAAGCATTGGGGGAAGAAAACAATGAAATGCAGACAAGGTATAGGATCGAGGTGTACCAAGAAGGAGGGAAGAGGAAAAGGAAAACCCCAGACGCTATGCGAATACATAAATCAGGGCTTTTGCCCAAAACACAACACCCGGCCCACGCATTGGGCCGAATATACTGCGCTCTTTAGTACCAATGATACCGAACAGGAAAAAAGAGACACAGAAATTAAACAAACAGGAACCCCCCCCTGCCAAAGTTGCATTTCACCTTCCCTGGTGCTAGATGCCAACGAGCGCGTAATAATACGAGTCCCCTTTGAGAATTGGTACACGGGAAATTATGAAAAAAACATTTGAAAGGATATGGGTAATGCATGAAAATGGGAGAACGCGGCTTGAGTGTACATGTTCTAGGAGCATCCTGAACCGACAAAAAGCATGGGTATTTCCGTGCGCTGCTAAAAACGAGAAAGCAGAAGTGTAGGAAGAGAAATAGAAATGAAACGAGTGAGGATGCCAGCCCCAGATTCACCACATATCATCGTCATCGTCGTCATCGAGTTGGACGTCGTCACCAAAGGACGAGTCTCCGTACTGCTGGTGGCCAGGGCCGTAAGCTTGGCCGTTTTCGTAGCCTTGCTTGCCGCTCCTCGAATGGCTACCGTAGCGATCATGCGGATCGTCATCATAGTCGTACATGGAAGAGTCATCATAGGCACTTTCTCCATAGTGTTGCTGCTCCTGAGACTGTGCGAGGCTGTTAGTAACTTTACTCTCCCTCAGGATAAGAGACATATTCGCTTACCTGTTGGTATCGCTGATATTGCGCATACTCATCTGGCTGATCCCTTGATTTCGACGATTTCTGAGATGATCCAGACGAAACAACTGGCATCTGCGGATGCATCTGCTGTACCTTGGCTAGGTATGAGTACATGAAGTTGCTCAGCAATACTTGAGAGTACAGAGCTCGCCGGGGATTCGCAAGTTTGATATGCGCCATCCGGTAAATAGCTCGCTCCTCCAGAATTGAGAAGCGAGACCACGCATAATCCACATCGGCGCGAAGTACTCGCATTGGGGGTTCGGGAGAAAGGTTTCGGGACGAATGTTTTCGGTGGTGGCTTTCAACACTGTGCTTCTTTCGTCCACCGCCAAAAATAGAAGAGAAAATGCCATCCTTTTCTTTCTTTGAGTCTCCCGATGCCCTCCTCACGCCATCCTTGCGTCGTTCTTCGTCGAGCTTCGGATCAAGGCGGTCTAAAACAAGACTTTCGCGTCCCCGCTGAGTGCTCTCGATAGAGGATTGCAAAACGTCCAGCCGTGTGTTGTCATGGGTTTTGTCGACAATCTTCGATTTGGTCTTTTTCGAGTCGTTGTCCTTGTCCTTCTTCTTGTCCTTTTCCTCGCTACCCAGCAACCAGTGCCAACTAGACTTACGGCTACCATCAGACTCCTTCTTGTCTTTTGATTTCTTGCTCTCGGATTTCCGTTCTTCAGGTTTGCGTTCTTCGGGTTTGCGTTCTTCTGAAGTGGTAGGGGTGAATGAAAGACTGTCGGTACGGGTACTGTTCCCAGGTACCATCTGAGGGTTATTGGCAACATCATTCAGCGAAGATGCGGGTTCGTGAGGAGGTTGGCGAGGATTCTTGGGACGTTTTGGTACCGGGTCATGCGAAGAGGCGGGTTTCGACGACGGTGTAGATGCCGCGGCACGATCCGGTGAGCGCTTACTCTGCGAAGGCGGACTGGGTAGGCGGTTGGATTCAGTGGTGGGAGGTGTTTCGATTATTGCAGGAATCTTCGGGTCGCCTGGGGCTGCATCCAAGGTAGATCGGCCATTCGAGCTGATACGAGAATGCCATACTCGTGCATTGGTCGTATCTCCTGAATCGGATCGATCCAAAGTAGCATCCGGTTGCCCATCAGAGGTGGAAAAGCCTTCCTGCTCGGCCTCAGGCTGATCAATAACTGAATCGAATGTCGAACTCACAGGTGAACTTGGTGAGTAAGGTGAACTTGGTGAGTAAGGTGAGCCATGCGATGAGGCAGAGGGGGCTCGAGCCGCTCGAGTCGTTTTGGGGGAGGAATCAGTCGAGACACCGGTGATCCCAGCGATTGTGGGATCTTGAGGTATAACAACCGGATGTCCTGTATCACTCCCTGCAGATTCAGATGCGCCCCGTCCAACTCGTTTAGAGTAGGGCAACTTTTCGCCCTTTTTCAAACTGCTAGCTTTCTTATATTGTGTCCGCGTTGACCGGCGTAGGCTGTTTCCCAGAGGTGCGGGTGGCAGGATCGGCATGTCCTCGTTTCCTGCGAGGTCGATATTATGCATGCCCTGCATGAGTAATTCTTTGTCCACCGGGTTCGAGTCATCGACCAAGGTTTCCAACTGTTGCAGGTTGGGAGTCAACATGCCAGCTCGCCTATTTGATTGAGAGCGTTGACGTTCCAACCGATCCGCGCCATCTGTATAACCCGACGAGTTGTCGATTTGTCTCGATAACATCGAACGTTTGCGGTTAAGACCACCTACCGACCCCTGACGTTCGGGGCCCAAAGTCGCATAATCGCCGGATCTGCGCTTGATATGGTCGGCCTTGCTATCGAGAAACGACTTGAATTCTTTCGGTGCCAGTTCGGGGTGCAGCCGCGCAGGAACCCAGAATAACCGGGAGGCGTCATCTTCATCGGCCGAGGGTGAGGGGGGTGGAGCGAAGCCTGGAAGGTCGGGGTCACCGGCAGCGGCCACATCCATCGACATGCGCCGGATCGCGGCGAGATTGTTCAGTTCCTGAGCGACAGCTGCAGGGTTCGATTCGTAGTCGATATCGTTGAGAGGAAAAGAGGACGTTGCAGTGTCCGAGGGCAATCGAGTACCGTCAGCATTCCCCGGGTCACTTTCCAAATCGAAAGACCGATTTGCAATAAGCGGCGGCCGCTGGCTTCCATTTGCTTGTATCGTATGCACGTCTGACGAGGATTGGTGGCGTGGCGAGGACGGGGAAAGAGAGGACTCAGATCCTTCGGCGACGCGCGGGATAGTTGTTATTGACTCGTCGACAGAGGATGTTATATAACTCAGGCGTCTCGGATCATTACGATCGTAGTCGTCGTTGTACATGTGTCCGATAGCTTCCGTCACATGGTGGCTTGGATCACTAATCGATAGATGGACGGCATGACCTCTCCGCGTCGCATGCCCGCCTGCCTCGTGGGCACTTGTGGAAGCCTGAACGCGTGCGAAAAATCATTAGAATCAATAATGCGCCAGTTTGAAATCGAGATCCTATTCTCAAATTCCATGGGAAGGGGTCCAATTCCACGGGAATCTGGTGTGCCTGAGGGGTTCGAGGCTGAGGGGAGTTCGACGAAAAGTCACGCCCACAGGAACCAAAGGAGAGGGACCGGGGAAATCGACGCACCTGCATGGGAAACCAGTTGCACAGGAACCAAAAGACGTCAAAGACGGAGCCCGAAAGGCGGAAGCTTAAGAGGAGGGGGCAGTGTCAACCACGTTGGATAGCGAGGAGGAACGGGTCATCGAAGCGGGGAAAGGGGAATGGAGACAAAGAGCCGGTAGCAGCGTGCTAGACATTCGGATACTACCGAGTCCAAATGAGCGTCATGGGTCGAGAAGTTTTGGGAGAAGAAAGGGAAAAAGAGAAGAATGGAAGATGGGAGTTTAGCGGGCGGAGAGCAGATGGAGAGTGAGAGAGTACATAACCTCCGCAGCACCTGACTATCTTGAACTCTTCCAAATGAGATTTTATTAGATATTAAGTGTTTCTACCTAGTTATTCTTTTTTTGCTTCTTGAATTTAGGGTCTTATAGGTCTTATAGGTCTTTTTAACTCTTCTAGATCTTGATTCATCAAGAACTGTTGGCTCCACTTGCATTAAAAACGGGGATGGTGGACGATCGGTTGATCTACATCGTACACGTTCTTTCTTTCTTTCTCTCTCTCTCACTCTCTCTCTCTACGTACTTTTTGATTCGGTGATACATTCTTTTAGTTCGGATTCTAACATCGGACTCCAAAGAAGTAAGTACTACCTACCTTTCAGAGCTGACTTGCAATATATTTCTTCAATCCGTGACACCGCATCCATGTACCTCGAGGGCTGAAAACATCGCCTCCTTCGTACTCATTACATTCATCCTTGACCGAGGCCGAGAGATCTGGACTGATATGAGAAAGGCTGAAAGCATATAAAAAATACAAATTTCCCATTGCAAAGGCCGCTAGCTATCCTTTTGTCCATAATGACCCTATATGGATGGTCGGATCTGAGATTCCATACAACGCCTTGTTACTGTATTCAATCTTCCCCGGGGACCGGAGCCAATAGCTGGATATGCCATGCAAGTGTTCACACAAGGCACCCACACGAGAAGGTCCAGCCCATAATACAAACAATTTCAACCAGTAAGAGACCCGAGTACATAGGATTATTATGTTGGATGTTGGAACCATGGTATCAAACTCAAAATGTGGAGCTGAAAGGTGTATTCAACCTAAGAGACTGAGAAGAAACTTATGAAACATAGATGGAATAAACTCTGAAGAAACTCTGGGAAATCACAATCAGATGGGAAATGCTCTGCATAAAACCGAAAAGATCCAAGATGACAGTATCCCTGAGCCCCCCCCCCCCCCCGAACGAGAGAAGAAAAAAAAAAGCATGAGAACGAGAAACTCCACGCTGAAGAATGTAAAACAACTTTAACGTAAATGAAAGAAAGGATGGAAAAGGGTTTGACGAATCCGTTTACGCCAGGATATATGTAGGGCAAGAGTTGGGGGAAATATGTTCATCAAGTCCCGGATAAATGTGCATCAAGAGTTCATCACAATGTGTGCTACATGGATCAGTATTGGACGCGCATCAACTTAGGAGGCCTCAACATAATTGCTGCAAATGTGTTAGCCGTCCGTTCTAGAAAGTCGAAGCAACAAGTTCTTACCTGGGGAAGATGCCCACGCGATCACCAATGCGACCAGTCCACCAGTCTTCCGCCTTCTCCGTCCGCTTTATTATGGTAATGATTTCGCCCTTCTTGAATCCAAGGTCACCCTCTTGATCCGCATCGAATGTGAAAAGGGCAACGGCTTGATCTGCTCGCAACTGGGCTGCACCAGTCTTTTGCTGGAAGACTGGCTTAGGAGCAGTTGGACGGGTAGGTCTGCGATCCGAATAGGAATATTCCTCCTCGTATGGCGCAGTGTTGCTTCGGTTGCGCCCATAGCCATCAAATGAATCGCCGGCAGGGGCCCGGGTTGTCGCAGAACGACCAAGCCCCGAGGCAGGCCGATCATAAACATCATCCGCCCAGGTGTTTGTACGGCGGGGCTTATCACGGTAGTCATACTCATTTTGATTGGTATTAGATCGAGCACGCTGGGCACCTTGACCGTAAGCCTCGCCCTTGCGTCCCTCCCAGACCACATCGTCATGGCTGTCGTCATAAACAGGAATATCATTGTACATGGAGTCACCCTGACCCCGCGCATTTCCTTGGAAGGCACGGGATGACAGCACGCGCATCAGAGCATCGGCGGCTGGTGGGGGGCGAACGGTGCCCGTGAGAAGTTGGTTCGCGGAGACGCGACTGCGGTACAATTTCTCGTTGGCATCCTTGCGTTCCACCAGCATACTGCCTTCGAGACTGACACCAGCGAAAAGACCCTTGGTTTTTGAGTAGGAGAAGACGGCCGCAACACCCTTCGTGCTGGCTGCGCCGGCCGCCTCGGCATTTCGGCCAATCGGCCCAGCAGCGAGTGATACATTACCACCCAGCGTCAGTGTTCCCACTTGAGAGAATGTGCGAACAGCAGCGGCATCGTTGAGAATGAAGACGAAATCGGTCAACTCAAACCCAATCTGTCCTCCAATTCCGGCACCTGCAGTCGCAATAGCTGATGGAGCCGACCAGGACCCATCGGCAAGACGAGCGACAACGATACCGGAGCCAAACCGACCGGAGCCCAGGAAACCGGCCTTCAGGACTGTGAGGACCGCGAGACCCTAAGGGAAAAGGCCTGTGTTAGCCATGGATATTCCCAACTGGGGCATAATGAGTGTCTTACCTTTGCATTGGCCAAAATCTCAGGGGGAATGACCTTGTCGGGACCAAATGATTGCCGAGGATCAACGAATGATGTCAAGATCTTTGCAGCCTTCTTGCATTCACCTGTTAAGAGAGAATCCACTGTCAGCCGGATATGCCGCATACGACTGCGGGGAAGTGGGCTTTGGGCATCGATGAAACGTACTGGCCATAGACGCCGGCAGCGGATTGTTGATCCCGAAACCCATCTTGGCTGGTGACTATCGAGGTAGAACGAACGAAAAGTCGACTGGGGAGGGAGAAATGGGGAGAAGTGAGGAGCTGTTGGTGTCTCGAGGGTAACGGTTAGTCAGTGTGGGCCCCAGCTGATAGACGGCTAAAGCGGGACTCCGGTTCTTGGGAGGCTCAAGACGTACCTCGCAGAACGAGACTGGATCAATGCTAGGTACAGTACAATGCTGGAGATACCTTCCAGGAACTAAGTAGATAGTCAATTGGAGATCAAACACCCTCAGTGATTACTAGACCTTGACGTCCTACGTATTTGGGCAATTATGGGGTCGTTGGTGTCGGTGTTTAAAAGTGGCCGAACGAGACGAGCATTGCTTGGCAAATTGGGAGTTTCTTGATGATGTATCAGAAAAAAGGAAGGGAAAATGGAACAAAGAGATCAAAGCCAAAGCAACCGTCTCCCAATGTGTAGAGAAATTGTATAAGCCATTGTATAGCATTTTGTAGAATGTGTAGATGCCCTCCAGGGCTAGGCGCCAAGACCGCCCAGGTGTTATCGTATCGCGATTGTCACATCCAACCTCGGAACCTTGGAACTTATCCACCCATACACTTCTTCAGGGTCACGGTGGGATTATGATCGTTACGTGACTCGTTAGACGCGAAAATGGCATCAGGTATGTTATTGATCTCACTTCTAGAAACACCGCTGACCGGTTAATCTATCCAGTTCGCATTTGCGTGTGCGGCGACGAGGGCACTGGCAAGTCCAGTCTCATCACCTCGCTCGTCAAAGGTGTGTTTGTTACGAACAGAATCCAACCGGTCCTCCCCCAAATTACCATCCCTCCCACCCTCGGGACCCCCGAAAATGTCACCACTACGACCGTCGTCGACACCTCGGCCCTTCCCCAAGAACGGAACAACCTCGCGCGAGAGATACGGAAATGTAACGTGATTCTCCTCGTGTATTCCGATCACTATAGCTATGAGCGGGTAGCTCTGTTTTGGTTGCCATACTTCCGCTCGTTGGGTGTCAATGTCCCGGTAGTTCTGTGTGCCAACAAGTCGGACCTGGCGACTGGCCATAGTGAGACGCGAGTTGTTGAGGAGGAGATGCTTCCTTTGATGGCAGAATTTAAGGAAATCGACTCGTGTATACGTACGAGTGCTCGGGAGCATCGTAACGTCAACGAAGCATTCTTCGTCTGCCAAAAGGCTGTCACGCACCCGATCGCGCCGCTGTTCGACTCTAAGGAGGCATCTTTGAAGCCCGCCGCGGTAGCAGCTTTACAAAGGATATTCTATCTCTGCGACAAAGATCGCGATGGATATCTTTCGGATACAGAGCTCAAGGATTTCCAAATCCGGTGCTTTTCCAAACCATTGAATGAAGCGGATCTCAATCACATCAAGGAAACCATTCAAAAAGCCTATCCAGACTCGATTACGGAGTCGGGAATTGACTGCAAAGGGTTCATTCATCTGAACAAATTATACTCGGAAAAAGGGCGACATGAAACAGTCTGGATTATTTTGCGAGCGTTCCAGTACACAGATAATCTTTCTCTGCAGGAGAAATTCTTACACCCCAAGTTCGAAGTACCGCCATTCGCCTCTGCTGAACTCTCACCCGAAGGTTATCGATTCTTTGTGAACCTCTTTCTGTTATCCGACAAGGATAATGACGGAGGCTTGAATGAGGCTGAACTTGCATCCTTGTTTGCCCCTACCCCGGGCTTGCCCGCATCATGGGCCGACGGCTCATTCCCATCCTCCACAGTTCGCAATGAGGCAGGACATGTAACACTGCAAGGCTGGCTTGCTCAGTGGAGCATGACTACCTTCTTGTCTCCCAAAACTACCCTCGAATACTTGGCATACCTGGGCTTCGAGCCCTCCGACCAAAGCGATCAATCTATTACTGCGGCGTTAAAAGTCACACGGCCACGAAGAAAACGTCGCCGCCCGGGCCGTGTGGGACGGAATGTTGTTCAATGCCATGTTTTGGGTGCTCCTGGATCCGGAAAATCGGCCCTTCTTGACGCACTTCTTTCCCGTGGATTCAGCACGACCTATCACCCTACTATCCAACCACGCACTGCAGTGAACACTGTGGAGCTTCCGGGCGGGAAACAGTGCTACCTGATTTTGGATGAACTAGGTGAGCTGGAGCCTGCTTTGCTGGAAAACCAGTCCAAACTGCTGGATCAGTGCGACGTGATTGCGTACACGTATGATTCCTCAGACCCAGATTCATTTTCCTACATTCCTGCATTGTTGGCGAAATATCCTCATCTGGAGGAGCTCCCCAGTGTGTTCGTTGCCCTCAAGGCTGACCTGGATCGGACGACCCAGCGAGCCGAACATCAGCCTCATGAATACACAGCTATGCTGAACATGCCCAGTCCGCCGCTCCATGTGAGTGTTACGTGGAGTTCCATCCAGGAGGTATTTGTCCATATTGCCGAGGCTGCCATGGAGCCAAGCACCGCTTTCCCCCGTAGTGAAGAGGATGTGGAGGGCAAATGGATGTCGTGGGGAATTGCCCTCGGTGCGGTGGTTTGTGCGGGTGCCGCTGCGGTGATGATCTGGCGACGAGTTGGTAGTGGCAATTAGGGTCTTCGTTCATCTTCTATACTATACCCCATAGTTTAATGTGCAAATAAATGTAAAATGATCTAAATATCTTCCAAGGTTCCCTCTCAATCATGATACTTAGTCAGGTACATAGCCGGCTTAGCCGGAGTTAAGCCGGTCCCCGCCAGGCACGCGGTTTCTTCTCCGCTCGAACGTTACCCCGGACATCATTTCCCTTGCTGATCTTCCCCCTCTCGCGCCTCGACTTGTACTTTCGACATCTCCAACCTCCGAACCTCGAACCCTGATATCATTATACACATCTCATCGAGTGCATATATAAACCCGTGATCCTTGGGCTTGTTACGCACCTTGACTTGCTGTCGCCCCCTGCGACCCTATCGCTGCAACTTGTTCATCACTCATTTCCAACACATATGAGCTTGCAAATATCGTTATATAAGACTGAAAGAGGGAAGCTTGAATAAATTGCATCACAGACTTGGCAAAGTTTGCGCATTTCCCTTATCTGATCCAAGGTTGCGCTGGTGGTCACACCATATCTCAGCCTAAATCCAAATTGACCCAGTGCGAGTGACGTCTAATCATGTTGTAAGCACGCTCTTTCTTTACTTACCCACTTCTTCCAATACCTTTCTGTTTTCAATCTGCAAGCCGAGGCTTGTTTTCTCACCATTATCAACCTTATTTGAGAGAACTGCATAATTCTCAAGTACCAGATAATCACTTCACTTGCTTACACCACCACCAGCGTCCTTCCCCCTCCCCCTCCGCGCTATACCATCCCTGTCGCCTATGCGGCGGGGGCAGCAAATGGTATGGCGGTCCCTGTCGTGGAAACGAACAATACCATTACCCACCCGGAGCGTGGGTGTCCATTGCAAGTCGGCGAGGGTATGTGTGCTCAGCGATCGCTGATGTCCCAAAATGTCCCAATTCCTTCAGAATCCCAGAGATAGCTTACATTTTATATTGCTACAGGAACGTACATCCTCCAGGATGATCTCCTCCTCGCCACACCACCTCCCCACCCATCGGAAGCTCCGATCATCAACCCGAACCCTCTTGCGACGCTACCCACGCCCCCGACCACTGGCGTAAAGCTATCCCTTGTTACCCTCGACCTTCGGAAGAAGCCTCCGACGTTCTTGAGGTCAGGTGTTACGGCTCCCCAATTTGGAGATGGAAACCCCGCGCTTGCGGCGCCGCCGGTGGCAGCGAAGGACGCATCAAAGCGAAGAAAGCCCAAGAACAACATTATCAAGAGCAGTTCTTCCTTCGTTTCGCGAGTCATTACCCACGAGACATCTGCCAAGCGATTGGGCGACCGTGACTCGAACGGTATTTTTGCCTTTGCGAATATCAACCGAGCATTCCAATGGCTTGACCTCAGCTCGCCTACGAAAGAGGAGCATCTTACCAAAGTTCTCTTCACCAAGGCCCACATGCTCTGTCACGATATCAACGAAATTACCAAGACATCGTCACATTTGGACATTGTGATGGGATCTTCTGCGGGCGACATCATTTGGTATGAGCCCATGTCGCAGAAGTATGCCCGCATTAACAAGAATGGCGTGATCAACAACTCCCCTGTTACCCACATTAAGTGGCTTCCTGGGTCTGAGAACCTATTCATAGCGTCCCACGCCAATGGCGTGCTGGTTGTGTACGATAAGGAGAAGGAGGATGCCCTTTTCACCCCCGAGGCGAACGGCCATTCCGAACAAGAATTTGGACGGTTACCATTGGACATCCTTAAGTCTGTGAACTCCAAGAATCAGAAGACCAATCCTGTCTCATTTTGGAAAATGGCAAACCAGAAAATCTCAAGTTTCTCCTTTTCGCCAGATCAAAGACATCTGGCCGTGGTTCTCGAAGATGGGTCGCTGCGGCTCATGGATTACTTGAAAGAGGAGTATGTTTGCCTAATGCTAAGAGAACCGAATTATTCCTAACTAACGCTTTCTAGGATACTGGATATATTCCGTAGCTACTATGGCGGCCTGATCTGTGTCTGCTGGTCTCCGGATGGCAAATACATCGTAACCGGAGGCCAGGATGATCTACTGACGATTTGGTCTTTCCCCGAGCGCAAGGTTGTTGCCAGATGTCAAGGACACAACTCCTGGGTTTCGTCGGTTGCATTCGACCCTTGGCGCTGTGACCAGAAGACATACCGGTTCGGCAGTGTTGGTGACGACTGTCGCCTCCTCTTGTGGGATTTCAGCGTTGGGATGCTCCATCGCCCGCGGGCACACCACGCCTCAACTCGAAATCGATCCAGCATCGTAGTGCCAAATTCACAAACTGCCAACCGCCACCGTGCAGACAGCGGCGACAACCGTGTGCGCTCGGACTCTAATCAAACCGAAAGTTTCAACGAAGATATCGATCACACGGCGAGTCACCCCGTCGAGCCACGATCTCGAACTGCTCTTTTGCCCCCGATAATGGTAAGCATTGATTGACACCCAAATTGTTAGCTTCAAAATACTGACTGACCCATAGTCCAAAATCGTCGGCGAAGATCCGATCTGCTGGCTTGGCTTCCAGAAAGATTGCATTATGACTTCCTCTCTTGAAGGTGTGTTTATTGAGGTTGTTTGTCGTTTGCAGCCAAACAATACTAACATTTGTCACAGGCCATATCCGCACTTGGGATCGACCTAGCGACAGCGTCGTCAAATCATGATGCTCCGTTTGCGAGTTACAGTCCACTTTTCTATTAGAGGTTGACTCGACACTCCTACTAAATGTACCATGTAATCGAAGTCGATTTAACAATCTTGGAAGCCCTGGAGGTTACCAATCGGGGGGTTCAGTCTTTTAGCGTGGCTTTTTCGTTTCTAACACCTATGATATCTTTTCATGTCTATATTACCTTTATCAATCTATACATATACATTATTCGTAAGGGCCATAATTTATATTCTTCTAGAAAACAATCGACGGCAAACCCGACCAAAAAGAGCGCACTCGAAGCTTCAGCTTTCGTACTGATGAAGTGAGCTTCGAGCCCATATTTTCCTCTTTCCTTTCCCTATTTAGCAGCGGGATTTGATACACAGAAAGAAATAACCAATTCAAAGATATAATCGACAGTATAATTCCAAAATATAAAATAGGCATTGCATTATCGCATTTCTCATTAATGTAAGGGGGCATATCGTAGGTCCATAGACCAACTCATCAACATCAACATCATCAAGCAAATAAATCATCACTAGTAAAGTAACCCCACTTCCACAATTCCTCCAACGGATAATAGAATTTGTCCAAAGGAACTACCACAAATAACCAAAACTATCTCCACCTCATATATCTAAGCTCACGGATATCCAGCTAGCCAATTTCTTAGCCGGATCACGACTGACCAATACTGGGAATTTAAAGGACCAGAGCGAGCAGACCCAGAAGCAGACTACCAGCAGGGGGCATGAGGATGGCAGCAGCGTTGGAGGTGGTAGTAGCCGACTCGGTAGCAGTGGAGGTTGTAGTCGAAGTTGTCTTGCGAGTGGTGGTCGAAGTAGTGCTCGAATGAGTTGCGGTGGACAAGCTAGTGGAGGAAATGGTTGAAACTATATTGATAGAGTCAGTTGATGTTTCCTCAATGTAGTGGACGAAAAGCAAAATGATGTCTCGGAAGCCGCGCTTTCCGCCTTTTACTAACCAGGGGTAGTGGAGATATGGGTAGAATGGGATGTGATAGAGGAAGAAATAGTGCTTGATTTGATAGTCGAGGTAGGGAGGTGTGTGGATTTAGTAGGTGAGATAGAAGAAGTGGTAATGGAAGAAGAAGTAGTCGGGGTAGTAGAGGTGGATAAAATAGAGGATGAAGTTGGTGTAATGGAAGAAGAAGTTGAAGGTGTAGATGTAGAAGAGACTGAGGAAGAAGTGGGAGTGGTAAGCGTCAAGGTAGAAGTCAAGATAGAAGTGTAGGAAGTTGAGGATTCTTCAGGGGTGGAAGTAGAGCTTGGAATGAGAGAAGAGAAAATGGAAGAGGTAGACGCACTTGCAGAAGAGCTAGTTATAAGAGAAGAGGTTGTAGGGGTAGAAATAGAAGATGAAGCAGTAGAATAATAGGACGAGGTAGGGGTAGACGCACTGATGGAGGAGTGAGTAGCAGTCGAAGACAGGTAAGAGGAAGCAGTCGAGGAAGAAAGAGCCGAAGAAGTGAGATCACTGGTTGACGAAGAGATCAAGGACGAAGTTTCAAGCGCAGTACTGGTTTCCTTACCAGAGCTACTAGCACTACTAGCAATTTCACCAGGCTCAGTGACTCGGAATTGCTGAGACTGAGCCAGAATGCCACTGGTCGGAGAGAGGAAGTTGATCTGATATCCCTTTCTAGATTGATTATTAGGTCAGTAGCTCAAAGGTAATGCAGTCAGATTAGACCTACCCATCATCGACATCCGTAAAAGTTTTGGCTTTGACGGTGTATGAGCCCTTGGAAGTGTCTATATCTTCTGCAACAATGGTTGTTGTCGGAGGGTAGACATTCTGATTGACAAGTTCGATGCTAAAGGTCTCTGGGTCCGTTCTATTGATATTGCATTTTTGGTTAGCAGAGTACCAGTGTATGTGAGACGCTGCTAAGCATCTTGGACAACTAGCTTACGTGACAGCCTGCCACTTAATCGTCAGGGGCATATCCGGGTCGATCTTTTCACCAATCCGTGGGGAGGTGACAGTGAGACCTGTTTTAACAGTTAGATTGATTCGTATTTTCCCAGATATACAACGATACCTGCAGCTGTAGCAGCCAGAGCCACCAGCGAGATGATGTTAATCCGCATATTGATTGGCTTCAGTGATAACCAATATCAAGTGAAGTAATATGATGAAATAATTGTCAATCGTGGAAGGTCGGGCCACAATATAATATTCCTGAGGTTGGAGGAAACCAAAGCCAGGGGCAACATAAGATGGGAACGTGATACTTTATAGTCTCTTACGACAGTCGTAGGAGGCTGTATCTCTCACAGGGTCTTCTCAAATTCCAATGGTACTCTTTATTTTTGGGCTGATTTGCCGTGGTGCCTTGATCCATCACGCCTCGTGCTCCCAAGTCTGTGTCGGAGTACAAAATAGTTTGGCGAGGACCACATTTTCCTGTTCCCGTGATGTAGATTTACTACTATGTTGCAGTCCAGGGGATATAGAGGAGGGACTGTTGATTCCGTAGCTTGCAACTTGATTTTTGGCCCAGATGGCAATTTCTCGTCGATTGAATCCATGATGTACAACGTCTCCAATTTTGACCGGCCGCGCGTCATATTTCCTGTCCGTATTGCAATGGAAAGATTCCATACTACCTTTCCTGATCATACGTATATTCAGCGCAACATTAGTCATTGGTTAGGGCACGGGACCCTGGGATGACTGCTGCGGCCCGTTTAGATTTGATGCCGAATATCAGGGATTCATGAGATGATCAACTCTTTGGGGGCATATTATTGTCGATAATGCATTAAACAATCATATATCTATGAAATTTCCTTAGAGCTTGCATGTATATTGGATATCCCTCATCGCTTGCCTTATATGGAACTATATATATCACTGAGTTAGACACGTACCAAAAGCTTATTCAAATCCACTACTTTACAATCTTTGACTCCTACTACATTCAATAACTTGCTAGATGTAGGACAATAGCTCCAAAAGGTCTAAGCACACCGGGAGTATTGGGTTCTGTGTACTCTTGGTCGTTATGAGTGTAAGTAGGACAAAGCCAAGGGAAGAGGTGTTTCACATTTCCAACCCAGTTCCCGGTCCACAGCACGAAAATGAGACGAAGACGGTAAACAATTACTTTCTCATTTCTTTTAGATTGACTAGTCCAAAGGGAATCTCGCCTCTGGAGAGGCTCTGACATTTCAAAATGGTTGCCTATGAGGGGCTTTTGGGGTACATAAGGAGTTGCACGAAGCATCAACACAAGGTCGGAACATCATTCATTGGACAATTCCTGGGAGAGATTAAAATAATCCAAATGGTATCCAGGTCACTTTTCGGGACAGATTCTTGTCTTGACTGTGATAATAAAAGGTCCACGATCGGTCTCGAGCGTCTGTTTGTGCTCTCCGACACTTCCACCACTGTCAGGCTAAACTGCGTTTGGCTTCGCAGTGCGTCTTGTCTAACATATTGATGTTAATAGTCTCTGCTTGGGGTTCTGGAATGGAGAGTCGTCGTCAGCATTCTACTAAATCTCAAGAATGACATGGAATGTGTAAGGAAATCTCAACACAAGAGTGGGTGGAGCCATGGCAGGCTATTCGTCTTACGAATGGACTGTGAATCATTAGTTCTATTCTACGCAGTGACCAGATACAGGAACAAGTCTGCATACAAAAAACAAAGACATAATTTCAAGCACCTGTATTGATCACCTGTCACTTTTAGGTAGCACGTAAAAATTCACCTTCTAGATAGTTGAACCTAGAGCGGGCAATTTTCATGCACAGTAAATGCACCTTGCATTTCCACTTCAACCTAGGGAGCACCTTAACGCTGGAGCATGCTGCGACCACCGTCAACGGTGATCCTGTTCCGCACCCGAATGTGGGCATATGCCGTTCCGAGCTGAACGACGCGATGGGAACTAGACTCGGTTGTCGCAACCTGAGCGCTATCTGTAGAGAACGGGCTATCGGGAGTGTCTGACCGACTGGAAGAGGTAACACTTGAAGACTCATCATTCTCCTGGTCGCCATTCTTCACGATATCTAACAGGGCTGTTGGACAAAATACCAAAGCCTCTCCAGTCGGCAGACGAACAATCTTGTTAAAGATCGATGAAGCCTTGGTGCTTGTACCAACCTCCTGAGCCCCGGCTCCGGCGATATGCGCCCTGATTGCCTTGAACCAAGCCGGCGATGAGAATCGATGGATAATCGTCACGTTGCAAAGCTCAAGAAGGGCCGGAGCAAGAGTTGGCTCCTGTGTTGCGATCATCACTCGTGCGGCCAGATGTCGCTGTTGGCGGACGACAGATAGCAGTGTCTCAGTCAGATCTGCAGCTTCGGGTGAGGTTGAAGTCATAAACTACAATCAAATAAATTGTCAGTATGGAATGAGGTGAATGATCCAAGAAATCGGAGGTACACGAACCTTGTGTGCCTCATCAAGAGCAATAAGGCGACCCGTATCCTGACGGTTCTTCAAAAACAAAGAAACAGAGATGTTGAACAGAGCGCACGCATCCTCTTGGCCAACGAATGGGCAGCTCAAATCGATGATGGTCAAAGTGCCTGGGGGGAAACTCCAGACATCACCAGCACCCTTTTCCTTTGATGTATTGGCACCTGCGCCAGGCATAGATCCAGGCTCAAAAAAGGATTCAAGGACCTCCAACCGCATATTGAGAGGCATGAGCTGGCCTTTTAAGAATTGTTCTCGCTGGAGCAGAAGTTTGAAGGCGGCGTAGTTAAAGCCGGATTTGCCCTGATTAGCAATGGCCATATCCCGAAGAATCTTCATAACAACCTATGTGAGTAGTTTATTAGTACATTGTTAGCATGGATGAAATGTGTGTTGACATACTTCAATGTAGAGAGGCTGCTCGGTTCTGTTGCCGATGCCCATCAAGGTTTTCATCATGCCAATGTTGAGGTCCTTCTGGGGCAGATAAAGTGGCTGAACCTTCAGCATGTTCGAACCGCCTGACAGTGCTTGGTACGCCTTTTTCATGGCAAGATAGTTGGTGGGGGACACCAAAACTCTGACTGGAATGTCGGAAGAATGAAGATAGGCCGCCTCGCACAGCTGCATGCTGGAAAAGGCCGTGAACTTATCATAGTGAATGACCAGTCCAGCCAGAGGAGACGACAGCTTGCCGGCAGGGGAAGATGCGATCAGTGAGTTTTCCAACAAACAGGACAAGGTATGACTCTTGCCACTTCCTTGACTACCACAGATGAAGGCAGACCAAGGTGCCGACACATTGGCGTACACAAGATCCCCCTGTGTCAGTGTGTCACTGGAAGGGCGATTACGCATACCAAGCAGTCCATATTGTGGGTAAAAAGTTTGGACTCCGTTGAGAGTGTGCTCGGTATTCTGAGGGTCGGTATCTAGAGTCTCACAAGCGGAGAGCGAGAATAGAGGTGCCGTTATGAGCTCCTCCTCCAAGCGGGTATTTTGGCCTCTCGACTTTTTGGTAGTATCAGGGTCGCATTTGACAAGATTCATGTGCTCCCCTGTCTCTAATGTATTCCTGCAAAGATGATGAGATGCCATAATGTCACCTTGTCACCTAAGAAGATTCTTAGGGCTCGTTGGGGAGTGAGTTGACGAGAAACGAGAGATGATAAAGGTTGGGCAATATTAGAAAGAGGGACCGAAAAAATAGATAGGCAGTGGACAAAGCAGAACAAATCGCGTTACGATCAGGTGTCCAGGCATCCAGACAATCCAACTTCAAACATCTACAGTGCCTCTGTATGATAGATGCTTTGGATCTATCTCTGTATGAGGAAGTATTTGAAATTTCTTTCTAAGATGTAGATATTTCCAGAATCACAGTATCATGACGGTGAGCAGGTAGCTCAACTCTTAGGTTATCTGATATTTCTAATAATTTAGGGACTCTTTATTACATCTCTAGGGACAGGAAAGTGATGATGAGGGTATTAATTGGAAACCTCTAGGACTGATATGATGACTACATACCCAAGGTTATCATTCAGGCTTGGCAAAACACAAATCGACACACAACTCTCATATTCAGGGAGAGACCTCCTGTATCAATCATTTCCGAAATGCATCTTCTCCTTGGATCCTTATGGCAGTTCAAACGACCACGTTTCTTGCAAGGATAATAGCAGTCTCAATAAAATTGAGGACTAAGAGTCTCAGGATCCTAGCCTCCCTATAATTGCGACTCATGGAGCAACTCCCGTGTACAGGTCTCGAGAAACTAAGGTTGAGCTTCCCGGGCTCCCATTCTTACTGGTTTCGGCCAAATGCGACTGGCAGAAGGGCGGAGGAATCAAGATTGGTGAAGTCTAATTTATATAGAGCCCCAGAAATCCTGTTGGGCCTGCCTTGGGAACATCTTGTTGATGTGTGGTCTATCGGTGGTATGATAAGTACTAGTACACATACACTTTGTGATAGTATGTCTAGTTCAAACCCCACAGACACTTGAGCTCATAGAAGGGAAGAATTTGTTCAACCCCATTGATCCGGTGAACAATCAGTATGTCTTTCCGTTGGCACTGGCCCAGTACATTGGATATCTGGGTCCTCCACCGCTGGAGATGATACGCAAAAGCTCACTGTTTTCAACGTATTTTGATGAACAGGGTAAGTCTGCCTTTATTTTTAGGCTTCAGGACAGTCAAGCTTACACATATCTCTATATAGGCAACTGGGTGTCCGAGCCACCAATCCCCAGAACCTCTTTCGAGGACTTCATCACCACCATCCCACCCGGAGAGGAAAAGTACCAGTTTCTGCGGTTCATACGCGAGATTCTAACTTGGGATCCCGAAGTAAGACCCAACTCGTACGAGCTTATTCAAGATGAATGGATGATGAGGCCTCCTTCAGAGGAGGATATGGTGCTTTTAGGGAATCAGATGGGCCAATGAGTTCACAAAATACCTATAACAGGGTTCTCAGCCCCCACACCATACTGCCTCAAGACAAGTCATACTGTACATTGTGTTAGAGCTCAGATTGGCTGATCTTCATGTTCGACTGTGGGGAAAGCATGTGATATCATCTGAGGCAGATAGTTAATCTCCCTTTCTTTCTCTCTTTTCATTTGCTCTCCATTATGGTAGGAATCAAGTCAGTTTCTCTTCTTTGGTTCCTTCAGTTTATAGAAATTTGCATAGCAACTTGCTTACACCAAAATAGCAAAGAAGCTAGACCAGGAGTTCATTTGACTCGTATATTACTACTAGTCGTATTGCACCCCTACATGGTTACAGCACTAGGAATCTATACCCTGCTCAATGTCTCAACCCCTCACTACAGTATTTGACACACTAAATATTAATTGTGCGCAAAGTAGCACGAGCAGTTACCTTACCAGACATTAAACTAGAGTTTCAGGGCTCTCTAACAACGAACCCTCGTAAGTTTCATATCCGCAGACATAGCCATGAAATGACTGGCCGATTTGTGTGGTCCCAAGGTGATTTCCAGCCCCATGCATGCGTTACATTTAAGAAGAGGCTCGCACGAATAGCCGCCCCGACACCATCCTGTAGGTGATCGATCGCCTCGTATAACCAGATTGGTCGAGATGGATGATCTGCGGCTATCAGCTGTAGGGGCCATCACACACTAAAAATCGGGGGGTCCCACAGTCGGACGCCAATTCCGCCCCCGGTCGTATCATTGTCTATTTTACAATGAATACTACATATTATCCTACCTAGTGCGCACTGTAAGATGCCCACAAAGACCATGCGTCATCTCTGTCCAATTTGGACCACATAAATGAGCGGAGAGCCGCTTCTGTTCCCAGCTCTCCCTCGTTTGAAAACATTCCGTTCAACAAGGCTTCGCATAACCACCAACAAAGTAGAATGATATCCATAATGCAGAACCATGGAACCTCCTTGGTTGCACAGCTAGCGTCGCCACCGAATATATCTCTACAATTACTCGGAACGCACACGGCTGGCGAACAGACCGAAGTCGTCGATTTCGATATTTGGATTGATTGCTCAAAACAAGCGAAAATAAAATCTGGGCAATTTTTGACTATCAATGAACGTGATCATCGTTCCTGGGACCAGTCTGGCGAATCCAGTGCCAGTTTCTTGACAACATCATCTGGTTGGCTTCAAGATTGGATTGGTGACAGCAACGAAGAAACAAGGTACATTCTCCAAACCAATTGTCTCTTGACTATAGGAACTAACATATATCAAGCTGGGCGGTTCATAAACTAGTCAGTTTGCGCGATGACGATTTCGCTGCTATAAAATCCCACGCAGAGAGCCTCGCAAGCAAAATCGCGTATGGCGGATCCATCATTGTCCAAATCCACACGCCACCTGCCGAGGCGGATGTCGCTGAAAACACCGCGAAGATTCAAGCGGAATGGAGTTTTGGCTCTCCTTTTCTTCCCACAGAACAACCATGGGACCTGTTGGTAATGAATGCAATGGTCGACGGCAGAAGGGGGTTTATCTCTGTTGATGAACCACGACCATCCCATGGAAGATCACCGTTTCGCAGGGCCATGAAATCTTATAACACTTCTACAGTCATCTCCCAGTGTCAAAACGAGGAGGGGTTTAAATATACAGTGCTGAAATACTCGAAATGGGGATCTGATATTTAGTTAAAATACCAACGTTGTTCTCGCTCATAACTTTTGTATTGAAGTACATATATCTCCTCGTCCATACCATGTAGTTTCATAGTATGATTGATGATAATATAGCCGCGATATACCGCTTGGTCGTAATACCTGGTGACTCCCTTTTTCAAGCATGTATCTCTTTTATGGCCTGTTATCCGCGGGTCAAAAAAAAAAAAGCTCTTCGCGACACTCATTATTTTTCGGGGGCAGTTGTTAGCGATATATATAGCGGAGTTTGCGGTGATCTGAGTAATGGAGTTGCTTGTATCATCTAACGGGCTCAGAATACAAAGTCTGTTTCAATCAATATATTGGATAAGGGTCAGGAATAAATAGTAAAAATAGATGGATGACTTAAGCCACCGCTATCTCTTTCCAAAGCGATAGATGAGCTATTAATCCAATTTCAAAGCGTGCAAGGTATACCACTACAAGAACAGACTACAGTGGTTTATAAGGCCTGTCAGGGCCTAGTTTCTGTTTTTGCAGTGCACAAACTAAAAGCTATTTTAGGAGCCTACTCATTAATTCATAGTAACAATGAGAACTTGGATTTTCAAACGATACATCTCACACTTCAAATGATTTTTTTGTTGTTTTACAATTTTTGTGCCCTTCCACTGGATCTTCACATTCTAGATGGAAGATAAAAAAAAGGGCAACCAGTAAAGATATGCGAAAATTCAAGACAATTATGCGGTTGATCAAATGCTTTGTTGGGAGAGAAGTACATGGCGTGACGATCTCTCGATGTAACCTAGAACAAATTTACTTGACGGGTCAAGTATTGAGACCTAGGTCTTCCACCATTTTTGCCAATTGTTTCTTCATACAAACCTTCCAAGCCAGATCTTGATTTTCAACAGACTCATAAATCATTGCAGCGGTGACCGTGACCCCCAGGTCTTTCATCTTTCTGATGATTTCGGTATCTCTCTGAAAGATTGCGTCTCGCAGCATGGGCTTAATCCGAGCCATCTCAAATCCATGACCAACGACCAACTGAACCAGATCCGCATCACCACCGATGAGGGCAGCGTATAGAGCATTTGGGATGTGGGATGACCATCCAGGAGTGATATTTCCTCGAACTTTCACTCCAAGCTTGTCTGCTTGGACTGGTTTGACTCGTGGCATATCGGGTGACACCTCTGGTCGTGGATCCGGAGCAAACCGCAACACGAACTCTGATTTCTTGTCATTCACATCGGCACCCTCCCTGAGTGCATATCTGACGACACTTTCTTTGCGGTGCCAGAGTCCCTCGTACAGGATGATCTGTGCAGCATCTTTGACGGTGAGAATTCGATCACCATGCTCGAGGAAAGAGAAGAGAGCTTCGAGCACGGGTAAATGACCGCGAGCTGCGGCAATCTTGAGAGGTCGTCGGAGCTTGAAAGCACCTTGGAATAGGGTCGGATCGTGGTTAAGCAGCCGCTCAACAATGTGCACATGGCCATTCCCTGCGGCCTGCCTCAGCGGAGTTTCGTAGTGTTCGTCCAAAAAGTTGGGACTGACACCTTGTGCAAGGAGAAGATGGACGCAAGACATCGAGCCAATTTCGGCGGCTGCAGTCAGGGGGTGTGATTTTGGGTGTCGTGGGATGACTTTCAAAGACTCGGGGGCATCACGATCGGCCAAATGAGATCCGAATCGATCTCGTCGTTGGACCTTGGCACCGGCTTTCAGGCATTTGTGGATGGTGCCAGCGAGGCCTCGCTTAGCTGCCCATAAGATCACATAGTCATGCTGGTGTGCCGAGTTCTTTTTGTAGAGTTTCTCGTCGAACATGAGGGCAAAGCGTGTGCTCGTGCAAATCAGGGCATTCAGATCTTTGTGAGAGTCGAGATTGCTCTCAATCATGAGGATGATCTCTGTGGGGAGGTGACCAAGCGCCATGGTTGCTGTGGTGAGAGGCAAGGTCAAAGTATTGAACGTGGAGAATGTGAGATTGGAAGAAAGGAGGATTGAAAGGGAGAGAAGAAAGCTTGAGAAGAAAGCTTAAGATGAGATCTGAGTGAAAGTGTAGTGAAAATTGAAAGTGAGAAAGAAGTCAGAAAAAGGTAGACAATAGTAATTGAGAACTGAGGATGGTCCTGATAGTCAAGTGGCCTTGTTTGTCAGGCGTCTCTCACTTTGAATACACTTCACATTGTCCCCGAGGATGGATTGGCAGGAATCTATACTTGATTTCATTATGGCTATCAATAGGAAAGTAAAACAATAGACCAATAGACCAATTGAATCTGAAAGATATGAGCCACGAGTCTGCCTAGGTAGTATTCTTATTCTATTTTGATCTTATATAAATGAATTACACCTTTTACTACCATTGAAAATTCAATAAGACCCTAGCTGCCTGATACCCAGAGCTTGAGACTATCTCTCTCATCCTTGGATTTAGTTGTCTTAACTGTGCTTTTGCCCCCGTTTTCATTCGTCTTTGTTGACCTTTTAATTTTGGCAAACAATTATATCGGCGTATAATCTGTTTTAATTAACAAAACAAACTTTTCATAAAAGGGCTTGGTTTCAATGGAGACAAGATGGATGAACGTAGATTGCTTTAGTACTTCTTATCTACTTTTATAATGTTGTGGATTGTTAGAGCATTCTATTCTCTATCATATAATTCCTATCCTTGAGACCCTAATCCGCTAGCGCAATTACCTCAATCTCCAAATCAGCAGGCTTGGGCAGTCCGCTAACTTCAACACTTGTTCTGGCTGGATTATGAGGGAAATATTGCTTGTAAACCTCATTAAACTCCTCATAGTCCCGATCCAAGTGAACAAAGATAATCTGACCTTGTTAACATGCATTCCTAATAGGCGATATTGATATAATTATATTCCGGATTTAATTCACTTACATTGGCCTTGATAACTTGATCTAGGGAGGACCCAGAAGATTCTAGGATGCTCTTGACATTCTGGATCATCTTGTGTGTCTTCTCGGTGACAGAGGCCTCGACTGGAAGATATGTGCCATTGCTGTCGGCGGCCACTTGGCCTGACACAAAGACAAATCCGTTTCCTTTAGCGGCAGGGGACTGGGGATTATGTTAGGTGAGAGAAAGATTTGATTATTCTGTGGTGTACATACATAAGGAACACCGGGTCGGGCTGTTTTAGTACATTAGTTTGGTAATATATATCTAGTTAGATGATGGGGAACCCACGAGGAGCACACCCTTTGCCTCCGAAGTACGTTGTGATCTTTGAAGACGACGAGTATGGCTTTGCTTGTGCCAAAGATCCAATAAAGTTGTTGCAACGCCATGGCTGGTAGCTGCATGAACGGACTTGAGGAATAACACGGCCAAATTTGAACATCTTGCTATAGAACGAGATAATGATATGGAAAAATTGAGTAGCTACAAGAAGATAGGCAACATACATCCTTCATATAGCTTCTATCAATGTCCGAGTCGGACCCATGATCCGATATTTTGAGGAATGGCGCATCCGATGGCTGACGCCGGAGGCTGGACCCGATATCCCGGCATTGTTCGTGATATTCGGGAGCGGACTCCGGCTTATCTCGTAACCGTTCTTAATTAGTAACTAAAGAATAGATGTAACAAATTTAATTGGGTATCTTGCAGAGCTCTATATTCTCAGATTCTCAGGGAGTAAAAATCGCACTGATATGAGCAGTCGATCCAAGCCATAAGTTCTCGCTCGCCTGTTCCAACTCTCGGGGTATATTCACGCCATCCTGGGTCACAAAGTCACCATGGTAGTCAATCAAGGCCACTTCCACCATTGACCGCAGCTGGGGGTCTGTAGTAACGGCCCATGCTGCTGATAAACACATTATCACGTATCCTGCTCCAACAGGTCTGTACATATTGGACTCCTGAGCATGTATGAGAATATCTTTAATGAGAGATCTCGATTCTTCCCTACAGGCATAGTCAATGGGATCCAGTACCTGAAGGATGCAATTGAAAACTGTCGTGATCGCGAGACCAATTCCATAGGTGCGGAGATAATGCGCTCGCAAGATCCGGGCCATGAAGGTTCCTGTCATAGTACTGAGCTCTGATGTTTCAAATTGGACTGTTCGTGCTTTCAATTCGCCCAGGAGCAATTTGCATTTTTCGTATATTGGCCGGACTTCCATTGCCAAGGGTGTTAAATCTTCACCGTCGCGTATAGCTCGTTTGCCGCGTTTGATTAGGCCTGGGGCTTGTGCTAGGCATCGCAAAATTCGGCCTTCGGGTTGGTCTTGATCAAAGTCATTCTTGACTAAGGTATCCCACTCCTCGGAGCTCAGGTCGATGGCATCATTGTATAAACCCTCGAATAACTTAGGTATGTGATCAGCTTGTGTTCGGAAAGTGAAAAGAATTTTGAATGATTTACCACGCTGCCCCGTAAAGAGAGGAACAGTTTACGCTCAAAGTCGTCGCGTGGCCCAAAGTTCTTTCGCGCATGTAGAATGCTGGCGGCCCCTTGCGCATGTCCTGATATCAGCTGCCCGCTATTCCCAATGAATGTTTGGCAGATCAAAAGTATCATCACGGCACATAATGTACTAGAGGAACTCGCCTGAAGTGGGTCGTCTAGATAGACTCTCAGGGTCTTGAGCGCATGTGAATATTTGCTTAGTGCCTCAGCGGAAACTGGTTGGCGGGTGCAGAAGCCTGCATGGGCAATGGTCACAGCGTCAACTGCACGATCAAGTGCTTCATTAATGCCAAGTCGTCTGGGTACATCTTCTAGGAAAAGGCCGAAGGACCACCACATATTGTACCGGAGGTCTGTGGATCGTTTTATGGCGCCGACAAACAAATTGGTCAATGCTGTCATACTATTGCCAGGACATGTGCGGGGTATTTCAAATGGATATTTTTCGTCTTCTGTTGATCTTGATATCGGGACAAGAGTCATTTGGCCGCTTTGTGTTGACTTGGGGGAAAATTGTTGTTGTTTGAACTTGAATCGTTGCTGACCAGACCCCACACAGTTCACTTTCAGACGAAGACATCGTGCACACGCAGGTTGTTTCTCGTCGCACTTGACAAGTTATTAGGAATGAAAACACGTGCCACGATTTTATTGCACGTACCTTTTTCTTCTGCTTGCGACAGGCGTCACAGGCCCGACCTGTTGGGACACCCGGCATAGCGGGGCAAAGACCTGAGTGGGGGAAGCGGAGCGTGGATCTTAAAACGGACACTGCAGGCCTTCAGGAACGTGTCTGTCTAGTATTTAGTACGCCACGGAAGGCTATGAACTCATAACGTATTACACCAAAAACGGAAAAGAAGCAAAAAAAGAGCCCCAAACAACCAGGTTGAGGTTATTAGGCTGCGCAGTCTAACCGCTTCGGGTCAAATGTACCGCTCCTCAAGGCTGAGTTGGACGTCGCTGATTGGCCACTTCCCCAACTTTATCTGCCCGTCCACGGGTGGACATCAAGGGGGCTGAATCCAATGCCACCAGCATAGCTCGATCTAACCCGATAAAGACCTATCTAGCGCTTCATGTTATGCGCATCAACACGCTCTTATGAGGGTATTTAAACATACAACCACCCAGTATTCTTATATCCAATTCACAATTCATTCGACTTCATCATGACCTTAAACAACTCGGATACAGAGGCAAACCTCTACTTATACAATCCAAGTCATATTTTACCAGCTGTTTTTGCCGCCTTGGTCGGCACATCTCTATTCCTGCATATTTACCAAAACTAGTAAGCATTTGGAATACAATTTGAGAAAACACCAAGCTTGTTCTAATTAATATCTCCAGCCGCTATCGATTTTGGCGCGTCACCTTCTTCATCTGCTGGGGTGGAGCCTTATTCACCGCGGGCTGGATTCTCCGCTGTATATCGAGCTACCATCCAGCAAACTTAAATATATACATCGCATCAACAGTCTTCATCTATGTCGGCCCACCGGTTTACTCAGCGGCCGCATATAACCTCGTCGGGCGCCTCATGAACTACCTACCAATGCACGCAGTCCTTAACCCCAACCGCGTCCTCATTTTCTTCGTCTATGTCGGTGCTGCCGTGGAAGCAATCACAGTCGCAGGAGCAGCCAAGAACGCCTCAGCCGGCTCCAATCTGGACGAGTACAAGGCTGGCGGGACTCTCATTGCTGCAGGACTTGTTCTTCAAGCAGTGGTCGAATGTGTCGTGATCGGGATCGTTGCAACGGTGCATGTCCGCTGCTCTCGCGCTCGGATGCTCTCGCCAAATGTCCGTATGATCTGCATCACACTCTACGGGACATCGACCCTCGTCTTGCTGCGATGTATCTTCCGCGCCGTCGAGGCATTTGAGATGTTTGGTAATCTCGGCTGTAGGGAGAACTGCGGGCATATCCTCAGTAACGAGTGGTACCTATATACATTTGAGCTTGGCCCGATGCTTCTCTTCACGTGGTGGTTGAACTTGATACATCCTAGTCGATATCTCCCCCGCCAAAAGCTACGCTATTTGTGTCTTGATGGTCGCACGGAGCGCATGGGCCCTGGCTGGATTGATCACCGCTCTCAGTGGGAGACTTTTGCCGATCCGTTGGATTTACAGGGGGTGTTCAAAGGTGCACCTTCTCATGAGAAGTATTGGCTGCGACAGGATGAATGGCCCGTGTGCAAGGATGGTAGTTTTGCTATGGGGACTGCTACCAATACGAGATCTGCAGGGAAGAACGAAAAGGACCTAGCTCCACTTAGTCCTCATGTTTGAGTAATGGATCCGCAAGGGAATCTGATGCCCACATTCTATTTCCAGTTCCCTTTTTTCCTTCCCTGCAATTCTTTTCTTTCTTATCGGAGGTGGATGACCCCTATTCATATAGACTTGGATTTCATACCCTTTTCGCTTGAAGGATTTATCCTTATTATATGACCCACTTGTAGACATATGAGACATACAAAATTCGGCCCTGGCCAGGGTCCAGTAAGCCCCATGGTCAGCTGAGCCTGAAGAGACTAGCTATACGGGCTGATTACCTGATTTGGACTTCGGGCTGCTTATTAGAACAAGCTTACCTGACTGGAGCATTTGATTGGTTAGGTCATATGGATATATGCCCCTGGAAGCTTAGCGCTGACTGCCGTTTTTACTTTGGTTTATATTGTGGGGAGAAGTCAATGGGGTACGGAGTACTCCGTATGACAACTCACTATCTCAGTGCTATACCGAGCCTCACTTTTCAGTCTTGGGGACCCTCCGGCACTGCAACTATCACCGTCTCTATGGGATTTTGTACAAGCCTTCATTAAATGAATCTCTCATAACACATTGACTTTTGTAAAAACCCTTTGAAATCATGTCTTTTGACGGAAGTTTTAGTTAATCCTCATGGTATAATAATCTGCCAAGAATCTAGACCCTTTATGAAGGTAAGATCAACACTTCTGATCCAGCTCTGGAGGTTGACATTGCTTACTCCGTAAACCTTTTACTGCATGCGAATTGTAGATCGCAGGCAAAAGTGTCAGCTGAGGCTGACTTCAATCAATAGAATGTGGAGTGATCAAGTTTCTTCCTAACTCCATGACCAATTTGATATCAACACATGAGGGATTTTATCTATCTACAGGGGTGAAAAGAAGTCTATAAATATGGCTTTCTATTCCAAGTACGAAGAGAATCAGACAGTTCCACAATTCAAATCCTTTCTAACGCTCCAAACAACTATACCACTACATCAACCAAGATGCGATTCTCTGTGTCCATAATCTCCATGGCCCTCATCGCAGGTGCTTCTGTCCAGGCGGCCTTGCCCAAAGCCAACGAGTACAAATCTACAGACTGGTAAGTAATCTTGCCCTAGGCTCTTTCGTTCTACCGCTCACCACAACCTCAGTGGCGGTGCCCTCAACTATGGCCATCACTCGTCTTTCCTCGGCGATGTCACCATGGATGACTCGTCGCACTCGGTCTACCTCGCAGGTACAAACTGGGTTGGATTCTCTGACAAGACGAGCAACGGGGGTAGTTGCAGCGGATCGGCTTTGACCTTATTGCAGGGCGAGTGCAATAACCTTGACACCTCTCACCCGGGAAAACGTATCAAGTGCGTCCGCAACATTGGGTAAAAGTCAAGGCGGCCTGTCTACGAGATGACATGAGACTCATTATATATATTGGATCTTTTGTGATGAAACGTTATGTGAGATAGTCAGTGATAAATATATTCAATCGTCATATAAATTGTCGTTATATGATAAAATCTAGTATTTATAGCTTGGCTTGTTCGAGCGGGCTCAGCTTCCTCAGCGGTGGGCCTCCTCTGCTTCCATCACCTGCCATGGGACCCTTTGAGTCCCCCTGGGGCGGGTTCATTCTCCACTTTTGGCGCAAAGCTTCGGGTGCTTTGTTCTCAAAGCAGTCTGCGATATATTGGCCCAGTATAGGCAGGAATTTGAATCCACTAAAACCAACCTAGTCAGTAAAAGGTCATAGCGTGCAGAGTGATGATGCTGATTAACACTTACTGTCCTGCGCCACCAGTAGCCATAAACAGTCCCTGGATGGTTGGGTGGTGATCGATAATGAAGTCACCATTAGGGGTATCCGTGTACCAACACAGTCGACGGTTCATCCAAGGACGGTCCCCCAGTTTGGGGAAGAACTGTCGCAAACCCTTTCGCAGTGATTCATCCGCGTCATCAGGCAAATATCCAGTGGCCGCATTGCTGGTCTCGAACTTCGGCGATGAGAGAGACTTCTGAACACCGTCCACATTCACAGTGATATCTGTTGCATACCCGTAACCGTGTCGCGCCAGCTTGAGAACATTTGTGTCCGGTGTGGGTGGGAATGAGAAGACGCCGGAGCTCATGTTAATCATGACCGGGATCTTTCTCATCTCGATGGCCTCTTCCTCGGTCAACTGAATGAAGCCAACGGGCTGGCCGGAGGAAGATGCCGCATGACCCATATCCAAAAGACGGTTGGTCCACGCTCCGGTGCTCAAGATCACCTGTGAAGCAAGTAAGGCCTGTCCTCCGACAAGGTTAACGCCAACAACACGCGAGCCCTCCCGGCGCAAGGAAACAACAGTACCGCGAGGCCCGGCAATGATCGAAACACCCGCAACAGTGCACTTGGAAGCAAGCTTCTGGATGCTGCCTGCAGCATCGGCCCAGCCACCTTTCGGATTGTGATATCCATTCATGCCAGAAAAGTTGGCTTGAACGCTGGGGTAGAGTTTGCGGATCTCCATGGCGTCGTTGAGATCATCTAATTTGCCACCTGCCGCCCGGATCACAGCTTTGGACTTCTCCATGTATGCGTTCTTAGGCGTTTCTGAGAACAAGGCGAACCCAGATTCGAAATATTGATCTTTGTACTCGGTGGTCCATCCGTTGTATGCCTCTCGGGCCATTTGAGAGTAGATTGGGTCCGCATAGTCGGCACGAATAATGCGGGAGATGTCAACGCTGCTTCCATCTGCTGATGGTGGTACAAATCGATCTACAACAGTGATATCTGTATATCCACGCTTGTTGAGTTCAAGAGCGGTCGAAAGACCGAAGACGCCAGCGCCCACAATCAAGATTGAGTGTGTCTTATCTGTGTTCATTTTGAGCGATGGATTGTTGGCCAGATGAGTGTTGTCATGCTGAAATTGGCTGGAGAATTTCCTGGGATTATAAAATGCGGAGGTGTGTACCTAAGGCAAGGAGGCCCGGCTCAGCGCCGTCTTGGCGGTCGGAAAAGTCGGATCCGGTCCGTGTTCCCCGGATGAGAAGGAATATCTGAATTTCAACCTCACGTTGGGTTAATGCTTAGCCAATCCTCAAACGCCCTCCCGTAATCTTGAAGCTGCAGGAATAACGTATCACCGCCACTAAACTCCATACTATGATCACCCGGAATCCCTGAGAAGTCCATCCTCGGTGAGGTCTGACTCGGCGTTTGTATGGGTTCCTCAGTCTGCTCGGGCGGGTAGGTGACACACTCTGCAGCCACTGTCTTGTGTCCTGAGATTCCAGCGGATCCAATCAAAGCAAAGTCGCGGTCGGTAATAGCGTCAACGGAATGGTCCTCGGAGCACCCAACACTGTCTTTGGCAAGTTCAGGGCCAAAGATGTCGCCAGCAGGATCTGATAGATTACTTGCATGGGCATATACTAAGATTTTCCACAATAGCTGCAAGTTCACAGACCATTTCTGACGAGAATTGGTTCCTCCTGGGGCGATGTTGTCTGTCATGAGGCCTCCAGGGGAAACGCTGTCCCGGAGTTGTTGCAGCTGTCGGACCTAGAGGCGACATTAGAACTAATGTGACAGAGCAACAGCTGGGTGAAAACTGACCTGGCGATCGATGTGTGGCCACCGATGACTCATGTTGCGTAGGAATCTTAAACATTTCTCATATCCCGTTTGCGCCTTTCTATTGAAAGCTTGATCCTCGACAAAACTATGTTGAAGATAGATCGTAGCAACAATTGCCACGCATTGCCCTATGATCGGGTCGGATACCTCGAAGTTCTTTGTCTCGATAAGCTCGAGGAAATGAACAACCCAGCCCGAGTGGAAGGTCAGCTGCTCGAAAGAATTGCGGAGGAATGACTGAGGCATTGTCCTCCGGAAGTTCCGAAGTCGCATAGACAACAAAAATGGATGATTTAATAAACAAGGTACTGCATGCCAAACTATCTGGAAGAATAGCCATGGGCTCCAATAGTCACGATGAGCCTGAAGTTCGGCGGGGGGATGATCTTGGAAGCGACTTGCATGAAGCCGGAACCTCAGTGGCATGAGACTCTCGTGCTCACAGTGTCTGAAATTGATCATGGTGTAATCAGAGTTCGGAGACCATGGAGGATGAGCGTCAACACCGACATGACTAGCGGCATAATTACATGCCAATGCCCACAGCTCGCTTGAGTAAACACTGGTACTATTGATGCCAATGTCTGGCTTGGAGTCACCACTGTTACCACGGGCAATCCCTTTGTTGAAAGTCGTGGCTCCTAACGGAGATATGATTTCACTAGCCTCTGCAAGTAAGTCTAAGCTATCTCCGGGTGGATGTGGGGACCCCTGAAGATTCTTGAGCATGACGAGGCTTACGTAGCAGAGCTTACGCTCATCACGCTCGGTTTCCAAGTTGTTTACAGACTCTAGGCCACTTATTCTGAGATTTCTCATCAAATATGTAGCAAGTCTGGTATAGGAACCTGCGCGAATGATATGACCCGCTGGACAGATGAAATAAAATATTAGAAATGAACACAAGGACACAGGGCGGGACTGCTTTACCTGTGAATTCCAGCATACTTAGAAGACAAAGGGTCTGAATCGTAGATAGCTCCACAGTACCAGATGCCAAACGCATCATGACTATCTGACATGCCCTTTCGGTCTTTCTCTTGATCTCCAGTTGTATGCCCTGGTCAGTGACCCCTGGTCTTGTGAAGCGGACCCCAAGAGCTTCAATCGCGAGTAAAAGCTCAGGGTCCCGCTTCCCCAAGGAGGCCAGAGAAGATCTGTTGGGGAATAACATAAGGGGCTGCGCGTTACAAAAGGTCAGATAAAGCTCGGCATCTGGGACCCCAGATGATCTAACTCTATTTCATTCGTCATTGAATATCACCTGCAATTAAATCCCAAGCCGAACTCACGTAGAAGAGGTCTCCGGAGGTGGAAGTTCTGGCATCCGAGTGTTATTCTCGGGGATAACTGGGGAAGAGAGGTGATCAGAAGCAGGTCGCCTGCGACCCTAGTTAGCCAAATAGAACAGGATTTAGAATTTTTTTTGAATCTGAACACACTTAATATATTCCATCAACTGTTCTAGCTTCCCCTCAATGCCGGAAATGCGTTGTTCCTATGCCGCATTAAAATCTGCTTAGGTCTAGACATCCAGGATACTTACCATCATCTTCTGAGAGTGCCCCGAGCTTTCCTCTCCATTTTCAGTGCCTGCATATATGCACTGTTGACCCAATCGCTCGCAGTACGAGCAAATCGGCTTCTCTCCTGGACACCGCGACTTTTTCCGGCTGAAGGAATGTCAGCTCTAATTGGCTCTCAGCTTGGGAGACGCGAGGTTCAAGCTCACCGACATGGCTCACAAGCCTGACGGACTCGTTTTGATGGTCTTTCATCTTCAGTCGACGCCATTTTACATATCATGGCACCACAGAAAGGGATGATCTGAGCTGTTCCACGTGAGTAAAACGTCGATCCAAGGCGGGGAACGGGTGTGGGTCCGAAAAATAGAGGACGTACAAGATAGCTTCCCCAGCTTCTCTTCTACATTTCTATATCTAGCCCCAATGGGCTCTGACTATACAATGAACAGCAGGAACAATAGCCGAGGGCTCAATCAAGTTAGATGGCCTAGGGGTTTAGTGGAGACATCTTCAGGCTTAGTCTCATACTATCACGGTAATTTCCGGGGTAGATGGAGTATAGAATGCTAAACTTAGACGTCTTTTCCATATTCATTCAAAATACAATCGGAGATACCAGTATAACTAATCTAATAGCACTTGCTACGCTTTATCACAAGTAACCTGTCCATCATGAGACTCGAATTTGCGTGTTGTAGAATATGTGCGACTTTGTACACGTGCGATATACATAGCACTAGGATGTACCTGTGATCTAGTAATAGGACACTGTTCAACTCTCCCCGCAAGTTCAGAGATATAATGAAGAATGCACAGTTAAAAATCGTAAATTTCCGCCTGGTGAAGATCGACGATCATGTGATCTGCCCCCGGGCTGACGTCGGCTCCGTTTCCCCAACCTTGGAGGCTTTTGGCCACTCACCTCCGCCTCAATCATTTGTGACAATTCTCCGACCTCTAAGAGCTTTGCATCACTGCTCCTAAACACACGGGAAACGATCGAGGGAAACTTGGAACTTTCCAAAATGAGTGACGCCTACGAACGCGAGCAGTACGTCCCCCTTTCTCCACCTTGTCCTATCGGATGTCCCTATGAAAGGAGTTATGTTTTGATTCGATGCTAATACTTTGAAACAGGCAGAATAATGCGCTCCTCAATTCTCTCTCCTCTAAGGTCTCAGCCCTGCGGTCCGTGACGATCGATATCCATGACAATGCGCGGGATCAGGACACTCTCGACCATACGGTATGTCTTGATCAATCTTTCGCTGGTCCGATAATGATTCAGGACATTTTCTTGTCGCTTGAAGATACTCGTGACTGTCGCCTCGATTGGGATAACTCGTGACTGACAACCCTACCTTCTTAGAGCGATGTATTCTCCTCCTTCTCAACAAACCTCAAAGGTAGCGCCACTCGACTCACGCGGATGGCGAAACAAGGCGATTCTGTGGCCGTGCTGAAAATTGCGGGCATGTCTATTGCCGCGGGTATCGTTCTCTATATCATTCTTGGGTGGATCTTCTGAAGGGCTTCTTACGTCGTTGCAACCTACTGCCCAGGTGCTTCCTGGCGACCTTTCACCCACGTCCCCCTCAATATTCGATACCCTTGCTGGACCAAGACTTATATCGAACGTGTCTAATCCGATCCCGTCCTGTTATTTCATGGTGCTGGTTGTCTTCGTCTTATGGACCGTATATGTGCTTCGCTCGGTCTTATTATGGCACGGCACATTAGCTTGCAGTGTATACTGTGACCAAGATTTCCCTGCCGTTCTCGATATACTTGCTGTTCTATTTCCGGGCTGTGCCTGTCATAGACATTGTTGCCCAAGAGCGTCGGCGACTCGACTCCTACCACCTCCTTCGACCCACTTCGATTATCCCTCGATCTCTAGGCTATCCTGGTTGACGTCTTCATGATTTGCAAATAGGCCCCAGTGTGTTTGATCTCTTCTCTGGAGCAGCCGGCTCCCAACCTCATTGTGCTTCGACATTTTTGCTTCTCCCCATATTCCATGTTATTAACACTGTGGTTACTCGTGAACATAATACATACATGGCCCCAGGCTCACTGGATCTATTCAGTCATACCCCAGTACATATCCACTAGTTGCGTAATTGAAGTACACAATGGATCGGGTGGATATATGTACCAGATCCTCAATGCCATTCAATGATACCTGTCGATTCCTCCCAGAGCTGTACTGACATCACCAAGTGGTCCATCGCCCCGACATGATAAATTTAGATCAACGGCTAGAATCTCTACCCCAAAAAACTCTAATGGCCGATCGTGAATTTAAGCTCACGCTCACCAAGGTCGTGGCCAAAAACTCTAACCAAAAACGGAAACCAGGTGGTATAGTTGCAATGAAAGTCCACTTCAGACTTTTTTCTCCCCGGTTTTTCTCGTCATGACTTCTCAAAATAGATGTAGGAGTTTACTAACTACGTGAGCTTATTTATTATGCTAAACGCTTGTGCTGTTGTGTCGTGTGCCACATTTCCACGTGTCGATCTCACCACGCCGTTTTCGGCGAATATGCCTTGGAATGCCAATCTAAGATTGGGGTAAACCTCATTACAAATGCCAAGTTTCTAGTTTACTGCCAATTTATCAAGGCCACGTGCCTCAATATGGACGGCTTATCTTGCCATACCAAATACCTCATGTATGGGGAGCATCAAGATCTAACACTGGAACTAACTGAAGCTACAACGATATTACCTGTCCAGCTGTGAACTTTTGCCTCGATATCGGGGGAGCCAGTTCTATGGTGGACAATAAGAACACTTTCTTTGATAATTTGTTTAGCAAGCAGCGCCTCCACGTGTCCGCCCTGTGCATATATGTGTGTTGCCGAGGCAGTATTGCAATTCTGGATTTGAAGCCGACTGCGCTGAATACTGTTGAGTTCCAACAGCCGAGGCTACACACATATGACGATATTCAAACGAAATAGAAATTCGCCTCTTGTTGTAAGCTAGGCAGCCAGGCGTAGTCAAGGATCTCCCTAGCTTCGATCGGGCCTCGCGGATAGTTGCGTCATGGCCGATCATATGAATAGGATATTGTGGGGCATTCTCGGGTATTCTTTTAGCAGGTTGTTCAAATTCGATTTGCAATTGCTGATATTCTGTTTATAGAGATGATATATTTTAAAAAATATATGAGTATTGAAAGAGCCCTAGCTCTTTTGGTCATTGACATGAAGTCCGATCTGCGATATAAATCCCTCGCCAGATCTAGACCGCGGGAAAACCCGAACCAAAAGGCCCGAAACGAGACCCTGACGGCCTAAGCATGTGGACTGATTCCCGCATACAATTGGCCCAACCGAGGCCTTCGCAAGAGCAAAAATTCTTTTTCGTCAATCTTGGCAGGCGGTCGGTCCACACGAGATCTCTTTTAGTGCCCGCTCTATGTTGTACAACACAGAGATTGCAACCTCACCCCTGGCGATCACCGGAAGAAACATGGCAGATCCTATATTCGGCAAAAAAGAACTACCGAAACAGGATTTCTAGCCCTGCTACCCTTGAGTGATTGCCATAATTGTCTTTGCTAGGCCTCTGTTGATCAGATTTTACAACCGTAGTTTTTTAACTTGTTGTTTCTTTCAGGGTTTTTCTGGGTGGGTCAGATCTCTCACGATGTCTGGATCTAGCAATTATCATTGGTACGTGAAGGCCCTCGAGGTGCTTCTTATCTCGC